CAAGGTCTCATGTTGAGGAAAGAAAAATTCTACCATTTAAGTTTTAGGGCCGGTTTCTCAATAGCGAGTCACCTCCGGGTTGGTTTTAACTCCAACCGTATATCGTTGAAATCAGGTTGTAGGGGAATAATAAATAAGCGCACAATATACATGGTCTTCTGTTTAAAAAAATGCAACTTTGCTCTGCTAGACTTTTTGACGCACCCTGTATGCCTAAAACTGACATTCGTTGAAAACTTTTGACAATTTCTTAAAAGCCCTCGTTTTTATTCTAATCAGTGACATCACTGATGAGTGATGAGTTAGCTATCTTTATTTAGTGAATGGAAAATGACAATGACTGACATAGTATCGTGGATCCATCGGTAAAATTTAATGAGAATAAAAACCTCAATCTTGACACTACTGTGAAAAACGTCAAATGAAAAAGTTTGAAGGGAGTGACATTTATAATAGATCACCCTGTACCTACCTCATATGCAAGAACATTTTTAAGATGAGTCTAAATACAGTGCTTGGCCCTCTACTGTTCCTCATATATGTGAATGATTTATGTCAAATTAATGTAAATGCAGAGATGTCTGTTTTTGCTGACGATGTCACCTGTCTGTGGCACTGTCATAATGTTGGGAATCTTAGGGGGATAGTATTATCTGGACTTGATCTTATAAAGCGCTGGTTTGATGCAAACAAGCTTGCTCTGAACATAGATAAAAGTAAAATCATAGGATTCAAATGTACGATGGAAGGGTTAATGCTTGCCAATAATCCATTACAGCAGGAAAAACACACCAAATTTTTGGGAATTTTCATCGATGAAAAACTGAACTTTGAAGCACATACAAGTCAACTGAAAAAAAAGGTTGCGTCGGGATGCTTTGCCGTTAGGGTTGTCCGGAGGGAGCTTGGCGTGGGGGTAGCGAGGGATGTTTATTATGCCCTGGTAGAGTCTCATCTGCGCTATGGGATAGCATTCTGGGGTGCGTGCGGTGATGGCCTGTTTCAGTCCGTCTTCCGCTTCCAGAAAAGAGCTATCAGATCAATGTTTCAGCTAAGACGGAATGATTCCTGCAGGCCTTATTTCAGGGACTACAGATTGCTTACCCTAACATCTCTGTATATATTGGAATCAGTTTGTTTGATATTCAAAAATAGATATAGGGATAACTACAATTTCCAGCATAACTACAGAACTAGACAGACACAGGTTGTCCATCTTCCGATACCCTCTTCAACAATGATAAAAAAATCCTTAATATATGAAAGCCGTAAAATATTCAATAATCTACCTTTACAATTGAGAGAACTTGATAATTTTAATGCCTTCCGAAAAAACGTGAAAGACTATCTTTTGGAGAATTGTTTTTACACTTTAGAAGAGTTTTACGCAGCTAGTTGAATGTCGATTGTTAGTTTATATGTAATGATGTTGATGTTTTATATTATTTTATATTATTTTATTTTATTTTATTTTATTTTATTTTATTTTATTTTATTTTATTTTATTTTATTTTATCTTATTTTGTTTATAGTTGTATTTTTGTGTATTTATATTTAATTTTACATACCTTATGAATCACATATTTAGTGTAAATTAGTAATACTTTACTTTTAATTTTATTTTATTTAATTATGTAGATATAAGACTGCTTTGTCAATAAGATTTCTATCTTTGATAATAAAGCTTTTTCTGATTCTGATTTTCTGATTCTGATTTCAGATCATAATTATTGATTGTTGCTATTATTTTTTTTTTTTTTTTTTTTTTTTGCCTCATATAATTAAATAGTTTTAAGTACATTATTATGTTTATAATCATGAAACTGTTAACTATTATTGAATAAATTCAAGGGCGTCGGAAGTTGGGTTAGTTTAGTGCCTAATACTTAAATATATTTAAAAAAACTTTATAGCAAGTATTTGTATATTATTTACATAAATTTTTGGATTAAGAACAAAAGAAAATTGGCTGGTTATCTTTCCTGATAACGCTTTATTAAAAATTTAAATTCATACAGCTATATTCACAGAATAATCATGATATTGAGATAGTCCCAAAATCTAGTAATAATATTAGTGTCATTGTTTTCCGAACAGATTATGAGTGATTAGTATTTGAGTCAATATGTCACTTGACTCCAACTACTAATGGGTAAGATTGGTACTCCAAATGTGATTTACTATAAGAAAAAACAAAACTGTGGTCCAAATTTTATTGTTAATCTGGTTAATTATCCATTTAGGCGCGTCAAAATCATTTATTATTGGAGCTAATTTACCCTGCATGACTCAACCTCTAAACAATATTAATCTTATTTTGCGTACCTACCGGTTGTATGATAATAATTGACGTACAGAATTGTGCTTACATTACGCGGTCCTGTACTGGGAGCCAGGATTAGTGCCAGTGTAATTAAAACTTATCTTAAAAAAATTTTTTGATAAGATATTAGTGTCGCTTACCTAGGATTTCTGAAAGGAACATAGTAGGTCAACTTAATATAAAGCAGGTGGGTGGTATAAAGTCTTTGATAAAAAAACATTTATACATACCTCGATTAAAAGTTTCATTACTGTCATCTGTCAGTATGTAATATACTATTTTTTTCTTCAAATAAATGTCAAATACTTTGCTGTAAAGAAAAAGACCTCCCAAAGTGCAAGTACAATAGATTTGGAACAACATTTTTTAAACTGCACCCAATTGAAACGGTTTAAGAAGTGGTATAACAGAACAGAAACACGCTTTTAAATTATTTTAAATTATAGGTACCTATGCTACTTCTCACAGAAAATAATTGACTTGTTTTGAATCTTGTAGAATATACAAATACAATAAATTATGTCGCCATTGTTGTTTGTATCTAAGGCATGCCAAAATTAATTCAAGTCACTGTTATCTGAAAATTATCAGATGCAATTACTGAATTATAGTTTATAATTTCTTCTGTATCCCTCGTAAGCTTGATAATAAATTGCGCACATGTAAGCAAATATTAATACCCAATACTACAATGAGAACCTTTCTAAGCCATAAAGTGTCTGACAAAATGGATTTCTTGTCGAATCAGCTAAGAAATTGTCCGATAATATTTTCTTTGTTCAAGAATTTAGATAACATTGTTTATGGGCGACTTTTAGTATTTACTGCTAAACGTACCTATAATAAATTATAGGTTACTGGGTACTTAAACAGTAATGATAGGTTTGAGGATTGAAATTTTGTATGTTTATGATGAAATCTTTTACCATTGGATATTAGAATAGATTCGCCTTTCCTAAAAAAAATAGGGACATCACAGCTTCACCATATTATCCTTATCTCTGCTAATTTGTCAATGGGGCGCCTGATAAGTGACGATGAACAATTAAAGGTTTAATTAAATATTTTTATATTTTTGCTGAGATTATGTTGATACACAGCGCGTTGTGCAAGCTCTCTTTTCACTTTCCTTTTTTGTCATATTTACACCTAAAAATGATGCAGCAGTGAATAAAATTTTTTGAATAGCGTTAGTGAAATTAATATATTTTTTTAATTGTGTCATAGTGAATTATTGTTGAATTTCATAAATGGATTTTATACGTTTAAGTAAGTTTATTTACAGTCTGGAATTTTTTGATGTTTCACTACCCAATCCAGTTTAGATAAACTAAACTTCTAGTCTAGACAAAACTAACCCAAAAAAATGTTTTCATTTTAAAGTTGACTGAGCTTTTGAATGGAAGGCTATAGAAGTTTTTTTTCCGAATCAATTTGTTTAAATTTACAGTGTTGATTTTTCAGTTTATTGCTGTAGTGCCTTTTAGATTGAGATTGTCATTTGACTTTGTCCAGCATCAATATGATTGAGCGAAGGATATTATTAATCAGATGTTGCCAATTTGTTTGGAACACATCGTTTTACAATAAAGGAACGTTTTGTTCAGGGAATTTATGTTCCTAAGCCAGAATAAGGGCGGAAATGCTTTACTGATAACATATATGAACATTTAGTTCACAAATAAATTCCGAATTTAATGAAAATATTTCAACTTATGCATCAACCCAACAAACAGATAATTAAATAATTTCTTTTACTATTTCTTCAGTCAATAATTTTAATTTGAACCTAATATGGACATATTCTGGCTGTCCACTATTATTCAACCAATGTGTTTCTTAGGCTTCAAATCATCCAATTTTTATCAATTTTATCTATATTTCTGAGAGACTGTATTGCCGTTTTTCTGAATTAAAATATATAATTTTTTTTGGTTGAATTCTCCAAATCATACCTTTAGATTTATAGATTCCTATTCTCTGTTGTTTCAAAGGTCTTTAACTATATGTATAGTGTCTTTGACTTTATGTATAGTCAAAGCATACATCAATGATCAAAAATAAAAACTAGGAATATGTCAGATCCTATACGCATTCCAAGGTTTCACTACATTATTTTCTATGACAAATAAATCTGAAATGCATTGTTTATATTTGTCATGTTTATCAAATTGCCCAGCTGAGCGTTTCTTAGAGTTAGCTTTATGAAATTTATCTCTCAGATATTGTTAATAATAGACCCGTATGTAATTTATATTTTTTTTTCCAAGAACAGATAGAAGTTATTATAAGCTTTACTTAACTTTATTGTTACATACCAATAAACATTGTTACATATCGCTACTTTTTGTCAATGATATTTATTTTATGAATCAGGCATTGTCACAGAAAAACCTACCTTAAATTGAAACATTTCAAGATTCTCCCAATATTCAATAATGGAGATCCCTATAATTCTCAATTTGAAAGCAGAAGTATTAATGCAATTTTTAAGTAAAAATAAAGGCCTTAGTATTCCGCTACGCAACACATTTTTTGAAATATGGACATCAAAATATTTTGCCTTTGACACCCAAATGCCAAATCAGATTGCATTTGAGAGGGCCGAGTCGACATATATCATATTATTTCTTTATAGGCTTTTATTATGACATATGGTTAGTTTTGTGTTTCATAGAGATCGTTTTTACTCCAGATTCGGCACCTCCTGCTACCGGCACCGAGTGCGACTCTGACGTGCATTGCATCGTCGCATCTATCCTGGATGAGGTTCTGGATATGGCTGTTGAGATTATCCAAAAGAACCAGTTGCTTTGCAAATCGGAAGTGGCGGATAAATCGGGATCGGAACCAAGTGGCGATCAAGTTGAAGAGCAAAAGGAACAGGATCAAAAGGTGGAAGAGGAGTTTGAGTATAAGGTGAAGAATATTATGTGTTTATAAATTTAATTGTTTGCTTATTTTATGCATGTTCACTCAATAGTAAGCCCAATTTTTATATATGTATAGAGCAAGTATTATTATGGTGCAATTATTTTGTAGTCGAGGATCCGGTGCAACACCGGTGACATACTATCGAGCTTATACACGCCAAAAATTACGCATGCGCCTTCGAGCGACACGCTTATTGATGCCAAAAGTTTCGTCGAAGATTACGAGGAGTACCATGACTCCTGCAGTGAAATGCCAGACTCTGAGCTGGCTGTTAATCAGGTAAGAATTATGCTGGTTCATCACCATCCATAATCATCAACATTTTTCACAATAATTTCCTATGAACTGCAGTAATGAGGAAGATGCTTCATATAGAATCCTCATGCATATTCATTTGTTTGGTAGTTGTAGATTGTAATAGTGACTACAACTACTGTTGCAGTTTTTAGCATCTCTAAGTTTCAAAAAAAAATCACTCACTGTACTGATCTAAATTTGCTTCACTAATCACTATTCCTAGATGGTATAGGTACTGAATAGGGTAAATTAAGTAGAAGAGGGTGTTTTACAATGCATCCATTTCTGTTTAATTTATGAAGCTACTTTAATGATCAGTAAAAGAACATCCATTAACTATACCTTTAAACTTTTAGTAATTATATGCTTTATGTTTCTCTTGTTTTTGGTACCGAAGTTTTATTTTGGACGAAGTTATAGTGACACCTTTCCCGACATGCGACGTCCTCAGGTTAAAAACCTAGTTATGGCGTGCTTTTTTTGCTAGTTTTCGCCAAACATAACTGTTGTGTTAATTTTTTTAACCTGATTTGTGTGCCTCTGTACAAAAATGTGTGTCACTATCAATGTGACACTTCGGTTTCTAGAAGAAGGCTCAAAATCAGGGCGATAAATTACCACATCATGTGTAAGCAACAATATATTTTGCTTGTGCTTAAAAAATGTTTGTTTTCTTTGAATGGCAGCTATTAAAGTTTTAGTGTTGCTGCCAAAATTAATTTATTGGTTCCATGTCAATCTAATATGTAATATTGTTTTGAATTATTCAATTTAATAGAACCTTATTGTAGCAGGTGAACAATAATTTTAAATGACTCATCAGATCAAACTCTCATAGCATATCAGCAAAGTTGCTTTTTTGTCTCCGATAACTTATAAGAATTAAATTGACTGTGAGGCTCCCTGATAAATGATTTTATGCTTGGTATAATATCACATGGAAACAATGATTTGCATTTTGTTGAATTTTGTTATCTTTGTCCAGTTAATATAACACTGACAGATATTGTTTTTAAAGATTTTTACATTTTTTTGAATCTAACTAATTAATTGATGTTTCAGATAATGAACGAGCTAAGTGACTCAGTGGAAAAAGCCGTGGCCGAGCGTCAACGCCAGAAACGTAAAAAAGATAAATTCGTAAAACATAGCGGTGTAACGAGTCTCATTCCAATAGAAACAGATTCTAACGCCGAAGACGACATTGACCTTCAACAGAATGATATGAGATTACTAGAAGTAGGTGCTATGTATAACATACCCAAGAATCTATTCCAGAGTGCTGAAATGATGGAGATTACTGAACAGACTATCGATAGGCATGATGAAAATGCTGATAGTAATTTGGAAGTGGAGCAACCAGTGGTGGTGAATTTGAAAGAAAGACCTGTAGGGAAGGAGGACGATGATGACGTCTATCGACCTATAGCTGTTAGTCCTGATGGAAGGTGAGAATATTAATTTTGTAAATAAATTGAAATAGTTCAATCAATAAATTTAATGCATCATAGTTTTCTCTGGGTTTAACTTGAAGATGTTAATTTAGATAAAAACAAAACAGTTGTTTATTTGCATCCATTTTTCATTAACAAAATAATTAAACTATTAGAGCGACTACCCCTACACATTTTTGTCATTCTTGGTTTATTTCTTTCCTCAGGTTTTTCAAATATGAAGAAGAAATCGGTAGAGGATCCTTCAAAACAGTATATAGAGGTCTGGATACACAAACGGGTGTGGCAGTCGCCTGGTGCGAACTCCAAGAAAAAAAACTAAATAAAGCCGAAAGGCAACGTTTTAGAGAGGAGGCTGAAATGTTGAAGAAGCTTCAACATCCTAATATAGTGAGGTTTTATAATTATTGGGAAAGTTCTGCCGCTAAAAAGAAAAATATTGTTCTCGTTACCGAGTTGATGCTTAGTGGAACTTTAAAGACGTAAGTATACCTAATTATTTTGTTGTTGAAATAATAATTTTCCTATCTAGATACTTACGACGTTTTAAAAAAATCAACCCCAAAGTCCTTAAATCATGGTGCAGGCAAATTCTGAAAGGCCTAGCTTTTTTACATTCTCGTTCTCCACCCATCATACATAGGGATTTGAAGTGTGATAATATTTTCATAACTGGCACTACTGGATCCGTGAAAATAGGAGACTTAGGTTTGGCAACATTGAAAAATCGAAGTTTTGCAAAGTCTGTAATAGGTACTCCAGAGTTTATGGCTCCGGAAATGTACGAAGAACATTATGACGAGGGTGTGGATGTTTATGCGTTCGGTATGTGCATGTTGGAGATGGCAACCAGCGAGTACCCGTATTCGGAATGCACTGGTCCTGCTCAAATTTATAAGAAAGTTATTTCCGTAAGAAATATAAACATTTTGTTCAGTACATGAATGGAAATTGTTCTCTTTTTTTAAGGGAGTCAAGCCAGCTAGTTTTGAAAAAGTGCAAAATCCTGAAGTTAAAGATGTAATCGAAAATTGCATCAGGCCCAGAAAGGAGGACAGGCCAAAAGTTAAAGATCTGTTGCAACATGCATTTTTTGAGGAGGATGTTGGCTTAAAGGTAAAAACCTACCTACAGCAGCAACAAAAATTGAAGTTGTGTTTTTCTCTCATTGCTTTAGGTGGAGGTAGTATCTCAAGAAGAACAAAAAATCGTCTTTAGATTAAGAGTTATTGATCCGAAAAAAAGAACCCACAAACATAAGGAAAATGAAGCAATTCAATTTGAATATGACATGAAAACTGATAATAGTGATAATATTGCAGAAGAAATGGTAAGGTTTAGGGCGAATTCTCATGAGCGTAAGTTGACATTTCTGGCGTAATCACGTGAAAAAATAGTTGGGGTTTATTAGTAAAATATTCGCCATGTTGGATATTTTACCAATCAAATTACACCATATTATCACCTGATTACGCCAGAATTGTCAACTTACGCTCATGAGAATTCGCCCTTAACGTATATGCTGGAGTGCGTTTAAAAATGGAGTGTGAAGGTAGAGTAGTGAACGATTCCAGCGTAACGCTCAGAGTAAGCACCTGTTAATTTATGAACGGTTTAGAGTTACTCCAGGCCACTCTCACACCCAGAGTGCTATTTTTAAACGCAACCCTGTGGTTCAAACATATTTTTGAACATACTTATTAAATAATGTTTGTCAGTCATTTTTTTTAACCAAAAAACATAATATTTCATTTCCAGGCAAAATCTGGAATTATTTTTGAAGAAGACGCCAACACAGTATCCCAACTATTAAAGACGCAGATCATGCAAATAAATAAGGAACGTGAAAAGAAAGACAAGCAGAATAAAGAACAAGAAGCTATGGCTCAACAATTACAGTATCAACAGTATTTACAACAACAAGCTGAGCAACAGCAACAACAGCAGTTGAGCCAGCAACAGAGTAGTCAGCAGCAGTATCAGCAACAGCCTCAATACCAGCAACAATCAAGTATGGTTCAACCTGATCAACAGCCTCAATATCAGCAACAGACAACCATGATTCAGGCAGATCAACAGCCTCAATATCAGCAACAGACAAGCATAGGCCAACCTGATCAACAACAGCAATATCAGCAACAACCAAGCATGATTCAGCCAGATCAACAGCCGCAATATCAGCAACAGCCAGGCATGATTCAACCAGATCAACAGCATCAATATCAGCAACAGCCAAGCATGATTCAACCAGATCAACAGCAACAATATCAGCAACAACCCAGCATGATTCAACAAGAACAGCAGCCTCAATATCAGCAGCAGCCAACCATGATCCAAACAGATCAACAGGCTCAATATCAGCAACAACCAAGTATGATTCACCCGGATCAACAGCCCCAATATCAGCAACAGTCAACCATGATTCAGCCAGATCAACAGCACCAATATCAGCAACAGACAACTATGATCCAGCCAGATCAACACCAGCAATATCAGCATCAACCAAGCATGATTCAGTCAGATCAACAGCCACAATATCAGCAACAGTCGAGCATAATTCAACCAGATAAGCATCAGCAATATCAGCAACAACCGAGCATGATTCAGCCAGAGCCACAGCAACAATACCAACAACAGCCTGGCAGTATTCAACAAGTACAGCAAGAGCAGCCATATCAACAACAGACAAATGTTGTACAGCAACAACCGAATGTTGTACAGCAACAGCCAAACGTTGTGCAGCAGCAAGCACCCCCAGAGCACCAGCATCAGTATTCCCAACAGCCTCTACCTGAAATGCAGCAACAGTATTCTCAACAGCCCGCTCAGCAACAGATTATTCAGCCAGTTCCACCTGAAAGTCAACCTCAGGCAAGTTTATTATTTTTTTGGAATATTTCATTCATTTTAAACTCACAGCAACAAATTTCACCAGGGTTCATACTTGACATTATAAAAAAATGATTGTCGTAGATTAATTCATATGACACATTCCATTTTTTTGACAAATTAAAATGACTTCTGGTTTAAGAACCGATGAAAGTTTTTGACATCATTGATTTTATTCAGTCAATTTCTATTTGCTAAAAAAGGAAGCCAAATTATGTCAAAAGTATGAATTCTCGTAAAACAAAGTTTACTTAATTTTCTTAGAATGTATGTTGATTTCTTGCCATACTTTTTAACTATTTCTTTCAGACAATTTATCTGAAAACAAATTATTTTTGCAGCAACAGAACGTAGTCTTTCAACCACCCCCACAAACTCAACAACCGCCTCCGCAACAAACTCAACAGTCCCAGAGCCAATCTCAACACGTTTTGCCGTCTCCAAATCAATCCCAACACGTTTTGCCTACCCAAACTCAATCTCAGCACGTTTTACCGCCCCAAACTCAATCTCAACACGTTATGCCACCCCAAAGTCAATCTCAACATGTTTTACCACCCCAAGCTCAACCAGGTCCTTCGGCCGATCAGTCGCAGATGCAATCGCCTCCCACTGTTCAAATACAGAGGCAACAATCTTTGGACCCTAATAATATACACTCTCAAACGATTGTGCACAAACAGACAGCTCCTACTCAGTTTGTGCAACAGAATTATATACAAGAAGGAGTTGCACAGCATGCAGAGTATTTACAAGCAAATCAAGAAAATGGAACCCTTAAATCAATTTCGCAGCCAGAATTTCTGCATTCAGCACCTGTTCATAATGAACAACATCGACTAAGTGTGGATAGTCAACTAGAAATGCAGCCGGCACATAATTTTCAACAGCAGCAACAAAATTATGTTTCTCAGCCTGCAAATTATCAACAGCAACAAACTTACCAGCAACCGCAAGGACAAACGTACCCGACGCAACCTAGTTATCCTGATCAGCAACAACAGAATCAAACTTATCAGGCACAACCACAAAGCTATACTGAACAGCAGCAAGGACAAAATTATCAAAGCTATTCTGAGCAATACCAACAATATCAGCAACATCCTCCTGCTGATATGGCTCAGCAACAGTTTGTACAACAACATCAGCAGCAACAGTATCAGCAGCCGCATCACTATCAACAACAGCAAATTCCTTGCCAGCAACCGTCAACGTATAATCAACAATACACTCAGCAATCGCAGCAATACATAACACCACCGGTTGAGCAGCAGCATCCTCCCCAATTCGTTCAGCAACCTAATATCGATCAGCAACAGCTGTATCAACAGCAATATGCTGCACAACAAAATCAGTCAATGCAGCAACATGTACATATGCAACAACAACCCATTCCTGTTCAGCAACAACAACCAATTCCTGTACAGCAACAACAACCCATTCCTGTTCAGCAACAACAACCAATTCCTGTTCAGCAGCAAGTGCCTGTACAACAGCAACAACAATTGCCTGTGCAACCATTGCCAGTGCAACAACAGATGCCTATGCAGCAACAGTTGCCTGTACAACAGCAACAAATCCCTGTACAGCAACAGCAAATGCCGGTACATCAGCAGCAACAACAGCCTGTGGTTGTTCAACAGGCTGCTGAACTAAATCAAGATATAGTACATCAGCAGCAGTGTCAGCAAATGGGTCATAGGTAAGTCAAAATTTGACCATTAAATTGAGTCTCATTATCGAAATTCATTTTTTATTTTTATGTCAAAGGTTTGGTGGTTAGTGGTTAGTACAGTACCTATCCGAAAAATGGACCCTGCATACAACCATTAATATAAAAATTTAAACTTTTTGCTCAGGTCGTCTACAACAGACATCCCTCCAATGAACCTAGAACAGCTCCAGCAAAAATTAGCTGCCCAAAGTCTCAAAGATCAACACAGAGCCTCTACTACATCTTTACCACCAATGCCGAATTTCGATCAGGCTCAACTTGATCATCGTAGACATTCAACGGTATCTCAACCTGCTTCTACTCAGGAATACACTCAGCTGCAACAGCAGATCATTGCTGAGGAGTTTTCACAAGCACAGAGTATAGAGGAGGTAAGACAATTTTCCTTACCTTGTAAAATTCTGAGCCTGGGAAACTTTTCCTCGATTAATTGTTTTTAGAAATACAAGTGTCTATTACCATTTTTTTCTTCTATAGATTCCACTACAACGATCTGAATCAACAATAGAAAACGGTCTACCCACCTCTCAAACAGAAGTAGGTTTAACTTCAGACCAATTAGTGGCCACATCAAACCAGCAACAAACTATTGCAAGTCCGACTGGGCAGCAAAACCAACCCAACAATGACGATTTGGATTTGTCAATTTCTGAACAGGTGAAAATTTTCTTTTCTTTTCGCTTATTCGTTCATTCATTAACCATTCATACATCTTACATAAACAATAATATATAATGTTTCAATATAAGGAAGAACCTTTAAAACATGTTTAAAATTACAAAAAAATCATTATCAATTTTCTGCCGCCCTATATAAAAAAAAGGATCATTCATCTTCAACTGGTGCGGATCTGGAACCCACCAAACGCCGATCTACAAAACGATCTTCGATTCGTCACAGACTCCTGGTTGATTCAGTTCACGTTGACGGCACAGTAGAGTGCCGTTTGCTATCCAAACAGCAAACGATCAGTTTTAAATTTAACCGTTTGGATACTACACCATCGGATATAATCGAAGGTATGACCAAGCAGGACCTTCTCAAAGCTGGTCAGCACGAGAAATTGAGAAGTAATTTACAGGAAGTCATGAACGAACTAAAATTGAGGCCAGATCAGGTTCCCCAGTGTGACCAGTCCGGATCGAGCAGTCGTGATGGACATCAGGTAGGAATTTGTGTGCCTCACTCAAATCAACTAGTGCTGTAATGAGATATTTCAATTTAATTTTTTTCTTAATGCTGCTGATGAAAATAAAGGTTAGACATGCCTCACTTACCAGGCATTCTCAAAAGAAGACACATAGACGGCATAGATCTGTAAGTATAGTCGAAATGATGTTAGCCCTCAAGTTTACAGGAAAGAAATGAGTGAACCCACTAGTTGGGGTCTCTCAGCTCCTGAGGTTATATTGAATATGGTTTATTTGTCCCTCGGTATTTATTGATTTTTACTTAAATCTAAGATAAAAATTTTGATAATACAAAATAGCTTTGTGTAAGAAGTTTAGTGTTGTCAACAACTGAGTATCTACATCTTTACATATAAAATATAAATCTATCCATATCGGCAATATCTGATCAAATTTTCATGGGATAGAAGATATGCCAATACTAGCCCAAGTACTACAGGATAGATTCTATGAATTTTATTTTTTATGATTTGTAACAATGATACAACAGAGCCTCCCTTATAAAATTTTTGACCAAATGCCTGTATTTGTTTTGCAGAGAGATGAAACTAGTTCTAGGATTCTCACATCAAAATTTGACCAAGCAGATGATTTTCAAGCTATAAAAACTTCCCTCGGGGACACCATTTATCAAAATTTACGGTAAATTAAATTGATATTGGTTTTTTGGCCTAACATAACACTATTGTTTTATAGATGCAGAGAAAGTCTTAATTCCAGCGGAACAGTGTCTCGCAAAACAAGTACAGCCTCTGAATATACTCCAGAACATACTTATATTACCAACAGCAACAATAGAGTAGTAAATCTACATCAAACTAATGTAAGCTATACAAATGAGAGCTGCGTAGTAGCCCCGCAAGAAGTTTCTTCAGCTTCAAACAACGATCAAGAGGGGGAAACTTGTAAACAGGACAAAGAAGACGTCGTAGACCAAGCGGATGCTTTCAAAACGGAATTAGTGAATAGCTTGAAACAAAAAGAATCTCCCTCTTTAGTGCCAGGTCAAAAGGTTAACCTGAAAGTATTTGTTATGAGTGTTGATAATGGCGGAGAAAATGACAAGCAAAATGGTTCTGAAGAAGTCACTGTGGAGGTTCAAAAAACCGTTGCTGAAGTTTCACCTCCTGAACCACTTGAACGAATAATTAAAGTGAATATGGAAGGCGATTTAAAAGCGGACAATGCGCTTTTAAAATCTCCGCAAAGAAAAATATCGAGGTTTTTAGTCAGTCCGGTGTTGAGTGGGCAGTTGGATTTGCCCAAAGATAAAGAGGTGGAATTGGAGAACAGTATTCCGGAAGCTCCACTAAGCGGTAAGTTCTACTGATTTTACCTTTCATAAAATAATGTTCTTCTAGTGAGAGAGTTGCCAATTATTCACTAGGATGATATGATACTTTTTTCAATCATAATGAAACCCTTTCCAGCATAGACCACGAGCCGCCACTGCTCAACCCCCCCCCCCCCATGAAAAAGCTATAGCTACGTCGTTGATAGACTATATCAGTTCTTATGCACTTTGACAAGTGAAATGCAGTTTATACCATAGAATTATACCCCTATTTTTAGGGATGAAAGCTAAACTCAAGATATGTAGTTGTTTTTGATAATGATCAACAGAGCCTGTCAAAAATGTCCATGTACCGGGTGTTACAGATTCGAGTCACATCATTGGGATCTCGGAAACGGTAAGATATACAGGGTTGGTTAAATGGAGGCAAAGTTGCGTAATTTGATGCTTAACAAAATGCCGCTTTGATATTTAGGATATTCCGAATACTTCCGGAGATATCCGGAAAAAACCGAAATTTTGCAAAATTGTTTTTATTTTTCCTGACTTTATTTGGAGTGATATTCCAAAATAAATGTCACTTCATCATTGCTACCTTTTCTCCCCTACAAGATGCTACCATCAAATTTGAAATCTGACGTTTCGTCTTTGGGCCACCATCATCAGCTTCATTTTTTTAAATACGGATCCTTATTTTTTATTTTAGATTTCACAAACTTCTGATATCCCAAAACTAATGACGTATTGCACTTATTCAAAAAAATTATATTATTGGTACTTTCCATAAGAACCAAATGTGTTAGAGAGAGACAGAGAAGAGAATTTTGGTCGGAAATTAAAGTCTGTTTTTTTTTTTAAAGATAATTCCCCAAGTCAAAAATTTAGTAACTATGTTGGCAATACAAGCGGTTTCTACATAAAAAATTTGAAAGCATTGACAATTTTACATTGTATTGCCAACATAATGTCATTTTGACTTTTATCTTTAAAAAAAAAAACAGATTTTACTAAAAAATAGAAAAAACATTTTTTCGAATAAATGCGATACGTCATAGGTTTTGGGACATCAGAAGCACTAAAAATTTGAAATAAAAAATCCAGGTTCGTATTTAAAAAAATAGAGTTGATGATGGTGGCCCAAAGACGAAACGTCAGATTATAAATTTGATGGTAGCATCTTGTAGGGAAGAAAAAGTGGCTACAATGATGTGATATTTTTTTTGGAAGATCACTTCAAATAAAGTCAGGAAAAAATAAAAACAATTTTGCAAAATTTCGGTTTTTTCCGGATATCTCCGGAAGTATTCGGAATATCCTAAATATCAAAGCGGCATTTTGTTAAGCATCAAATTACGCAACTTTGCCCGCATTTAACCAACCCTGTATATCTTACCGTTTCCGAGATCCCAATGATGTGGCTCGAATTTGAAACACCCTGAGAAACAAAATTTGAATGTCACAAATGTGAAATTTTGCATGCTCCCAGCTTTTTTCAAATGGGATGATATTTCATTCTATTCTTGAAGAGCATAATACCCCGATTCTAAAAATATATAGTTTGTCTATATTTAATTGAACAATCTCTCATATATTCGGCTCCAAAAATTGTAAAAATACTATCCTATTTACTACGGATTTTGCGAACCATTCTACCTGTACAGGTGAAAGGTGCAGGTAAAATATGAGGTACTTGGTTTGCTCTGATAGTATTTTCAAAATTTTTAGAACCAAATATGTTGGAGACGGCTCAACCAAATATAGTCAAACTATATAGTTTTGGAATCGGGAAATTGTGCTCTTCAAGAATATAGAACCAAATATAGGGCATCCCATTTGCAAAAGGCTAAAAGTATGCAACATTTCACATTTCTGACATTCAATTTTTGTTTCTGATAATGGATTCTAAAAACTTAGCCAATACTGTACAACTTTCGTATTTACACCTTCCATCTATTTGTAAAGGTGAAGGCTGTAGGTGGGGTGTCAATATATAAAAAAACACCTTGTACTTGACCAATAACTTATTATATAAAGTCAGAATTTGTAAGATTATCCACTTTTTGTCAATTTGCCTTTTAACAGGAATTAGTACTGCACTAAACTAGTAACATAATATGACAAGTTATTCAAGTACAAACGAATGGATTGTTGCGGAACTTATGGGTGCACCTCTGCGGGACGAGCACAGCGAGTGCCGCAGTCATCTATTCATTAATACGTTGTTCAAGTACGATACTAACCTGACTCACTCAAATGTCAGTTATTCTCATAAGTTCAAAAACTACACATTTCAGGGGAGTGTCTTATTTGAATAGTTGTATTGCTGAGTAAATGGCTGCGTAACTCGCTGCGCTCGTCCCACAGAGGTCCACCCATAAGTTCCGCAATAATCCACTTATTTGTACAGCGTGTTTTTTATATATTGACACCCCACCTGCAGCCTTTATAGGTAGAAGAAAGGTGTAAATACAAAAGCTGTACAGTTTTGGCTGAATATTTAGAAACCATGGTCAGAAACAAAATTTGAATGTTAGAAATGTGAAATTTTGCATGCTTCCAGCTTTTTTCAAATGGGATGCCCTATATTTAATTCTATATTCTTGAAGAGCACAATGCCCCGATCTATATTTGATTGAGCAATCTCTCATATATTTGGCTCCAAAAATTGTAAAAATACCATCCTACTACTGATTTTGTGAACCATTCTACCTGTAAAGATAAATACTGTAGGTGGGGTGTCAAAATCAAAAAAACATCCTGTACACTTATTATGTCACATTGAAATGTTTTGAATATTCTTTTGCTGAAGAACATTTATAATAATCCTTCATCTCGGATTAGAATTACTTGCTAAGAATAATATTTAACTTTTCAGGTGAAGCAGCTCCTGTGGTCGTGACATCACTTCAAACAGAATCCCAGCTGAATACCCAACCGTCTCAAAGCAATTTCCCAGCAATTGACCCCCAGATCACTCAGCAAACTCCACCTACAAGTATTCCACATTCAAACACAGAAGTTTCTCCTGTGCAACCTGCGCAGCTTCCGCAAACAAACCAGCAACAGGCTCCATTAGTGGCTTCGCCTCAAACTGGCGCGGTTGCTACTCCCCCAGCCACTGGGCCGCCTTCAAGAAAAATATCCGCTCCGGAAAGTTCCACCGGGTTGGGTATTGAGAAGCCCGTGGAACAGAAAATAAGCGTTTGCAGTTTGAAAGAGGAGAGCACTACAGGGAAAGGTGAAACTGGTCAAGTTTGCGGTCCGGAACTTATCAATACTATTGAGCAGCTTAAAATTAGTTTGGATAATTTGAAAAATAGTAGTCATCCGAAAAAAGACGAAGAACCCAAAAAAGTGCAGAGTAATGTTGATGTAAGTAAGATCATTTTATGTATCGCAAAATATATATTTAATTTTCTTGCTAACGTTATGCGGCCATCAGATAAATTTATTTGATTAGCTTACGTGCAGTTGTTTGGACAATTAGAAGTTAAAATAAACATCCACATTACAATAATCATAACTTATAACATACTGTATTTATTAATTTTTCCATAATTATTGGTTAATTTATACTTGATACTAAAACTTTGTAACCTAGTAAACTCTGCATCTCTGTTGTTTTTAATCAATATGAAATAATGACTGTAATTTGGATAAAAATTTAAATAATTAGATGACACCTAAGATTCGCCTCCAGTATAAAAAACTAACCTATTAGAAAAGGTCTGCATTGTCCAATGAACATTATATTTTAGTCCGCACATAAATAAGCATAGGTAGTTGTCTGAGAGTGTATTAATTTAGTAAAATATCACTTCTCAGTAAATAACATGTAAACACTATTTCAGGTTTCTGTAATAAAACAACCTCCTCCATCCAATCAACAACCCCCAGCCAGCTACGTACCGACGACTCAAACTCCTGCTGCGCAACAGCCTCAATTTATTCCACCCATGTCGCAACAGCCTCAGCAAGTTGCCCCCCAACCTCAGGCTGTTTCTCAGCTTATTCAACAGCCTCAACAAGTACCCCCTCAAGTTATTTCTCAATCCATTCAACAAGTTATAAGTCAACCTCAAGCTATCTCTCAACAGTCTCAACAAGTTCTGGCTCAACCTCAAGCTGTTCAAGCGACATCGCAAACTTCTCAACAACAGGCTCCGCCCATGGTGCCCCACCACTCGCAACCTCCACCAACAATGCAACAACAAAATCAGGTAAAAAACTCGAATATATTTAAATTTTATCAACTCATAAAACTTTGGTTGTTTTAGAAGGACTAAAAGCGGGGTTTCAGAGAATGAAATTTGTTACTTTTAATCCTTATAGGAAAAACATTACTATTTTTTCACCTACTAATTTTTCCTCAGGTTCCAATTCCTACACAACCCGGTCAACCTCAGCAACAATATGTACCTTCTAACCAAGCTGTACCGGCTCAACCCCAGTATTCACAAGCTGCGCTTACCCAGGCAGCTACTCAACCACAGTCTGTTGGTTCATACACTCAACCACCACAGTCGCATCCGCCACAGATGCAACAAACTCCATCGATTCAATCATTGCCAACTCAGCAAATGTCGCAACAGCCTCAAAGTGAACCAATGGCTTCTGTTCCAGCTCATACTCAGCCAATGACTAATGTTGCTAATCAACAGGGATATGCACTGCCGATTAGTAATAACCAGTATGGGCAAGCTGGTCAACAAATTCCACCACCAAATGTACCATTGCTGTCAAACGTAATGACGGTTGCACCAACTCAGCAACCTCCTCCTATGAATTATCAAACTGGCCCCATTGGACAACAACCAATGACAATGACTTCACCACAGCAAATGGTTTTGCCCCAAGTGCCAACAAACCAACCGAGCGATGTTGTTTATCAACAGCAACAGATTTACGCTCAGCCGATGGCAGCTTCCGGATCCGTGCAAAATTTGGCAACAGCCGCCCAAGTAACTCAACCTACGATGATGCAAGGAGGTGCTGGACATTTCCAGTCGTCGATGTCTATTGATGAAAATATGCAAGCTTATGGACAACAAAAGATTTTGCCCGATCTAAAACACATTGTGGAAAGGTAAAAATAAGGAAACTGAATAATAGGTTATGAAAATAGCACTGCTCAGGTGCATTGCACAATTTACACTCCACGATTTTCTACATTGTCTACTTTTGTAGTAAAAAAAAATGTGTAATGGATGCGACCTGTGTCAAAAGAGCTACTTCTGCATTTGAATACGGCCACTATTAACTATGTTATATTTTACAGTGGATCCAACAAAAATAGTCAAGCATCTACTCCGCAACAACAAGACATGATGTACGATCTGAATTTCCAAAGGAATCTCCAACAAAGATTGTCTACAATTCCCCAGACAGGACAATATGTGCCAAATACTACAGTAAGACAAATTTTTCCTGAAAGAGGAACTTTTAAAACTTATTACTTCCTACTTTCAGGCACCTTCCAGTCCTCACACTTTAGTTAGTTCTTTAGAATTTCCACTAGATGGACTTTCTGCTGCAATTAGTCTTAATAAGGTTTGTTTTTAAAACATTTTTCCTGCAATATATATTTATTTTTTTTCAAATTTAGCTTCGCATAGAATCTGGTAGTAGTCCAGGTAGTGGTGTAACTTCTTCTGAAATCCTCTCGCCGGTTTTAGAATCTGATCAGCACAGCTTTCATGTTACAACAAGTAATGTGCCTTCTGTGCAGTCAAGTGTAGACACTAAAATTAAAGATTTAAACGATCTGAACGATCAATTGAAGAAAATTAACGAAAAACAACATTTAGAGAAACAACAGGTTGAATAACTATTATTAGTTTTCTAGTATTAGAGTTATTTTATTTTATTTTTTCCAGGCATTAACTGAAGTTTCTCCACAATTGCAAACATTGGAAAACAAAACTGTAGAGGCGATAGACGAAGCTAAACGAGAACTGAAATTAGAGTTGGAAAAACTGCACGATTCTGGAACCCCTGTTAGTCAGGTAAATATTAATTTTCTTTAAAAATTTGTAGAACTTTCAGGCTCATTACAGAGTGTCTACTAAATACTCTTTTCTTGTATTGAATCAATCTGTTTTGACTTCAAACTGAAAAATAGGAAATGTCCTGGAATGTAGGTTCTGTAACGGAGAGGTTGTAGGATGAATAAGAAATTTAATTTTCAAGAGTTTTTGCTTGGAAATTTGTATTCTCCTGATCATTCCTCCCGTTTAAAGAGGAAATTTTGCTAGATTTTGACTTCTGTGTTAAAGGCATTAAGATAAAATAATGTCCTAATTTAAAATTCTTAGGTAGCAAACTTTCGAACATCATAAATTTATGATAATATTTATTTTTTGTCAGAACAATTTTATTCCTCTTTTTAGCAAAGTCGTCGTTCGGTGTTTTCACTTGGAAACTTGAAAATTCGAAATCCGCATCAAATTATCACTAGTTTTGTAAGTTAATAATATTGTCAATCTTTCAACCCTATATCATTCACCATCTCTGAGCTGTTAGGAGTAACTAATATTTATTTTAATTATGTTTCTTTTATCCTCAGTTCAGACGTCGCGTAAGCGTGTTTATCAAACAACAAAAATTAAAATTGTTGAGCGTAAGTAAGGTGCAGGATTGTCCCCTATACAACTAATTTTCTCATTTGTCATGTAGATTTTAAAAAATCCACTCTACAATCTACAAACTTCTTGGAGACAAAATAATCCATAAGCTTGATTTAGATACTTTCATAGTTATGGATTACATTTGCTTTACGCTTTATAGAACCTAAAAGACGGCATCATATGCAACTTGTCTAGATTTTTAATCACTAATACCAGCTACTCCTATTCATGAATCAAGCTTGGAAGTTCAAGTAGAAATATAGAGCTACTTTATAATAGGTTGGCTAGAACATATCACAATTTTTTCCCTCTTGCTGCTTGATATTAAGTACCTACTTTTATTACAAACTTGAGAGTGCCTTCTCTGAGTCATCTTAAAAACAAATGTTTTTATGTTTCCTACTAATTTTAAATAAATTTCAGACGCTCCAAGAATCAACGACACAAGAAGACACCGTGACGCCGTTGCCTACTCGCGAACGGCGAGTTTCTCGGTTTAAAGTAAGCGTCATTACCGAACCTGACCAAAGCAAATTGATTGCTCCCAGTGCTCCAGAATCGAGTAATATCGAACCAGATCCAAAACAGAGTGACACTTCTTTAAAAGACGATCCAGTGATAGAAACACCCTCGCAGATGGTTCAGGTGACATCTCATAGTAGCAGTGCGCCACATGGTCACGATTTTACTACCGTGATTAATACAACTTTTGATTCCTTGAAGACGACTTTGGTTAAGTCGTTGCCAAATACTGGAGGTAATTTGTAATAAATAGACAATTTGAGGGAAAAAAAATACAAAATGTACGTTTTCATGTAAATAATAGTTTTATTATATTTTTCAGATGATTTGTCAACAGAAGAACAGGTCTCGCAAGTTAGAGTAAGTACAATTAACAATCAGGTTTGAAATTCAAAATGAAAAATTAACATAATTACCTAACACAGTGTTTTTGTGTACCTAATTGTTTGCTTTGTTGCATCATTTGTGTTGATATTTTCTGTAGTTTTATGCCATATATCATCAGACCTTTCCAACTAAGTAGTTTAACCTATCTACTGGGTTCTAATGGTTATTTCTCAAAGTAGTAATAAGAATTGTGTTCATTATAAAGGTAGCCCTAGAAAAATTAATCACCATATTCATAGTCAATTCTTTTTGAGTATCCTTTAGATTTATTAGGATAGTAGTGTAGTGAAATAGGTTTTGCAGTACAAATACTGGATCATAATTCGAATAAAAATTCAAAGTTTTCCACCCCTGCATTAAGTGATAATCTCATGTTCGTGTGGAAACCATCCCTACGCGTTACTTGATCAGGCTTATCTTCAATTGGCTTGTAAACCATCCTCGAAACAGAAAAAAAAACGACGATTATATGTAGCAGAAGATAGGGCAAGGCAGGTAGTGAAACTCCAATTCAATTTCCCTAGGTTTCGTTGTTTATTACAATTTTATCAAGGGTCTGTAAATGGAGAAAAAACATCGATAAAAACATTAAATAAGTTAAATGAAATTAAACAACAAAAAAATTAAATAGAAATAAAATAAAAATACAATAAAAAATAATTAAATCAAGAGCAACATCAATTACATCAAGATAGTTGAACAAAATAAACGTAAAATTACAGTACAGAGAATACATGAGAACCGAAGCAATAGGTGTCTATACATTGTTAATTTATTCAAACACAATGGTATGCGATTTTGACCCATAGAAACCATATCAATTATTATCAAGAACCAAGATTTTTATTAATATAATTCTTTTCTCTCACTTACCAATCTTAAAGAGTTAAAGGGATGTTAAAGTAGCCATTATAGAACATAATAGTAGATTATACCACGAGTCAATAATGATAGCTATTATTCCCGAGGATTATTACGAACTGAGCCGCGTTAGCGGCGAGGGAGTAACATTCCGAGGGAATAATAGCCATTATTGCGAGTAGTATACTCTACTTTATTTACGACAAATTAATTTATTTGAGATTTTCAATGAACAAATTTCATCCGTCTCATAATTTTCAATACAAATTCACAAGCACTACACGTTTGACACTGACACTTTTGTGGAATAATGACCATTAATCCCTGGAGGAATAACATATGTCATTATACTGCCAAAATCACAAATATAACACGCACATTATACATTACTCGTAAATAAAATGCATTAGTGAATTCTAATATGGAACCTCAATGGAACACACCTGTTCCTTGATCTTATGGTGCATAGAACCGAAACTGGTACAATGTTGACTAATTGGTACATGGAACCTACCAGCTCTGGTTGACTTCTGAATTACTATTCATGCCATTTTTCTACTGAAAAGGTAGCGACTAACACTAACCTACTGTTTAGATCTCTAAACTTATCTGATGAATAATTTCATGACAGTAACCTTATAAAAATCAAGGAACAAAAAGATAATAATTATTCAACCAATTTCGTCAATAGGACGATCACTAGGCTAAAACATAAACGGATTATGGAGTGTAAAAATTATAATAGTGACATAAATAACAACAACAGATATTTCAATTTTCTGTTCATACCTGATTTATGTGATAAAATTCAAACTTGCCTCAACAAAGAGGAAAGCTGTTTAACTTTTTACAATAAGAAGACAGTTAATCAACTGTTCACAAAATTAAAGGATAAACTTCCTGTTGATTACGAATCTAATGTCATCTATGAGGCGGAATTCTGTAACAGATAAAGATCGTTATCGATATCGCTATGGCACCTGTTATCTTCGTCTCTCTTTTCGAAATCAATAGAGAGGGGACGTCAATAGAGATAGCGAAAATATCGCTATTCGTTACAGAATCCCAGCCATGGTATAATATCCCATGTAAGGATTGTCATAACAAGTTTTACATAGGTCAAACCAACACAGATAATATGATTGTGATAGACCTAATAGAACGGACTCAACAGCCCTTAGTCTTCGTCATCACACTACTACCCATGAGTTTGACTTCTCTCATCCAACAATTTTCGATAAGGAGACCAAGGAATATCAGTGAAATTATCCATATCAATGTTATTGCCTCAATTAATTTTAGGACTGATACTAATAATTCAAGCTCTTGTTATAGCGGCATTTTGAACAAATACAAAGATAGTGTTAAATAAGTGATAGAGGGGAGTTAAATGTATGGGACAACAATATCTCTCTATGAATTCATATCGGTTCTGACCTTCAGTGCAGATTATTGATTTATACAGTTGACATCCTATTTTTTGTATATTGAGTTTGTGTGTGATGTTATTAATCATAGGTGTTCCAAAAAACAATTCAATAATGCATTTTATGTTCTATAATGGCTACTTTAACATCCCTTTAACTCTTTAAGATTGGTAAGTGAGAAAAAAGAATTATATTAATTCGCGGTTCTTGATAATAATTTGTAGTACAACATACCCAGGTTCGATCTAGTCAACCATCCAAGGACCTTTTTTTTCAGTTATACATGTAAACCCCATACTCTGTGAGTGGCTTGCTTACATCAAGTCCTACAACTTTTCCTCTACGACTTTTCTCGGAAATGGCACGTATGCGCGCAGGCGACTCGCAAACATGTCGATCTGACGTAGCTATGTTTCCTGATACATGTAGGTAAATCTAATTTTACGAATACTGTTTGATTTTTATGTCTAAATCACGGAAATCAACTTGGCCGACAAAAATAATGGCAAATTGGGGGAGTCCGATACCCCTAAAATGTTTGCGAGTCGCCTGCGCGCATACGTGCCATTTCCGAGAAAAGTCGTAGAGGAAAAGTTGTAGGACTTGATGTAAGCAAGCCACTCACAAAGTATGGGGTTTACATGTATAACTGAAAAAAAAGGTCCTTGGATGGTTGACTAATCAGTAAGACTGAATCATGAGAATTTTTATTACCTTTTAAACAACAAATCTTCTGAAAAATGAAATGAAAAACAAATAGGACCTACGTTGTGGATACTTACTCAAATTTACTTACTGGACATGCGCCCAACATAGCAAATATTTGGGAAATTTAAGGGAAGCTGTAATATGTAAAAGAAACGCAAAATTTGTGAAACGCCTCCTTTATTTTTAAAGAAAAACGTACCGTTCTCGACCTGGAATTAACGAGGAAAAAGAGACCTCGATTCCCCAAAAATCGAAAAATACTGTGTCATTTTAGGTAAATAATCATTGTGAGTCATTAATTCAATAATTTAGGTCAATAAAAGTTCAAATTAGCTACCGTCCCTGTTCTTGTGTTAAAATTTCAATTACACACTCAAGATTCAATCAACACTACCTATAAACAAAACTGAAGAGTTTTTGGTTAGTTAGCCGGTCTGCCGGAAGGTACTGAGGTCCCATACGGAATGCTACCCAGCTATAGTTGTTTTTGAGCCAATATCTCTAGATTGATTATTTCAATTTGTTAGGATATTCTCTCGTCAGGGGGTAGGAAAATGTTAGTCAATTCAACAAGGCTCTAATGCACGCTCTGAATACACAAAATCGAAATCTCAGCACAAAAGACAGCACATAATTTCTTAGGTTCTAATTTACTTCTTTATCTGTGTTGTTTACAGTATGAAACGATTTTTGGTTAAATACATAAACAATGCACATGTTATAAAAAATGTTATAAACAAACAAAAAAAAAACATAAAAATTGGAAAAAAAAAATACAGTAGTGTCATGATAATCCGGATCAATTAAACCCAGACCAATCCGGATTATCAAATTATTCGGATTACTAAGGCATTTTACAGTTCGCTTTCAAAACTATTTTGAAAAAAAAACATGCCGTATTTAAGCAAAAAAAAACTTTATAATTATTTGAAAACTCGTCTATAATCGCTAACTTTTCGTTGAGACTTAAAGTTTTGTGTTTGCGTTTAATAGGTTCCATTTTCTTAAAAAAAAAAAAACCACACAGTCAAGAAGGACGCCGCGTATCAAATGATGCGTGTAGACATGTAAAAAAACTACCTATCCACTTCAACGCAGTTACAAAACGACAAGTGAAAACCTGTGCTTTTATTTTCAAGAGTCCTGTGAATGAATTCGGATTACCTATTCAAGTGAAATCTGAATTACAGAGTACATTTATTTCGAGACACTACTGTACTTGCGTAAATTGAACTCTTAAAAACCAAATAATAATTAATCCACCAACCTGTACCTTCCTCACACACACACACACTAATAACAAATTAATTTTAATGCAAAATAGGAATGAAAATTGAAAAATTAATAATTACAGACGCGCGTCTCGGAGAGCCCCCGCTTGTTCTCCATTCCAAAGCCTAATCGCTTATTCTTCTTTACCTCCCTTTCGGATGGTACCCTCGTTGTCCCCTAAACCTAAACTCTGTGGCGCAGTACATGGTTGCAACATTTAATTTTATTCAGTAAACGTTTTTTTTTAAAAATTGAGTTTTTAAGAAATAATATTTTTAATAGGTGGTTCTTCTCAAATTCATATGGTTTCTATGGGTCAAAATCGCATACCATTGTGTTTGAATAAATTAACAACACATATACACCTATTGCTTCGGTTCTCATGTCTAAAGTAAGCGTTTCAGTTTTCGTGGGTTTCATTCTATTCTGCTCTATAGGTTTTGATTTGGCACATTTCCATCACCCGTCTGTTTTGTTCAGTGTTTGGGCGTGAGTGCAACGACTGCGGCACCGCTTCTGCGAAAATAACCGTAGTTCAAGCTTCAAGTCGACGTCGACTAGGCAGATAGATACATGGTATGTACATTATACCGTCAGGAATTCGTTCCTATTGTGCTGCTCAATAACAATAACAACCAACACCGGTGGTTGCACTACACTACAAGTTTGGAGTTTGTACGGAGACGAGCGGATATGGCGCCTTTGTGTTGCAAACTTTGTAGCCATAATATCGGAAAAAGTGGGTATAAAGTAAAATGCAGTGGTGAATGTGGTGTCTGGATGCATCTGAAATGCACTGGGCTGGAGAAGAGCGACATGGAAAATATAAAAAGTGGAAAAACCTCATATTTTTGCACAACATGCAAAAGTGAGGTCAACCGCAGATTAACAAGAACACGTCAAAAAAGTAGTTCTTCTTCTAATCCTCAAAGACAAAAAGGGATGGAATATTGGCGAGTCGAAAAGCAAAAGGAAAAATAACATCTACTGAGTTGGGACTTCCTGGTGATGAACGGCCAGTATTTGTTAATGAAGATCTACCAAAGGATCTCAGGACGCTTCACAACACAGCTAGAATGTTGAAATATAGCAACTTTAAGTATGTCTAGGTTAGGGATGAAAAGTTCTTTTGTCGACAGTCGGATTCGTCAAAGGTCATACGTATTGAAAACTGTGAACAGGTAGAAAGTCTGAAACACAAGACAGTGAGTATTGAAAGCAAAGTTCAAACCATTGACCTTAATGGATCAACAGATAATTGAAACGCTCATCAACACATCTCAGTGTAGTCTCATGAACTTGTCATCTTACTTGAAACATCGAAAACAAGACTTCAAGATTCTGTATTTGAATGCGAGATCTGTAAAGAAAAACTAAACTCTATAGAAGCACACCTGGCTCAAATTGAGGGGGACGTTTATGTTATTGTGGTGAGTGAAACATGGGTAAAATCTCAGGAAGCAAAGTTTTAGGTACAATGTTCCCAACTATGAAGTAACATACGCACCCCGAACTAAAAGAGGCAGAGGATGTGCAATTTTCTGTAAAAGTGATCTAAAATTCAATATCGTAAGGAACTATGAATCAAATAATATAAACTACCTTTAGATCAGATCTACCTGGAAGATGTTCATCTCCATAAAGCAACAATCTACAACCCTTCAAACAGTAAAAATAATGTGAATGACACATTGAGCATATTGCAAAATGACCTTAAAAATCAAAACCTTATTTTACTCGGTGATCTAAATATCGATTTACTAACAAAGACAAATATCTGCGAAAAGTACGAAGATATCGTCTTGTCTAATGGATTTTATTTCTGCAACACTACCCTGCCAACTAGGAAATCGAAAAGTCTAATTGATCATATAATAACAAATATACATAATACTCAGGGTGAAGTTTTTATAGTACAGTCTGATATTAGCGATCATGATTTGCAGTTTTTCCTCCTGGAAAGAAGGACTCCGCAGCAGCCCTACAAGGTCTGCATCAAAAAAATACTCAATATCCTAAAAATTCGAAGAGATCTTGATTCCTTGAACAAAATCTATGAAGTTACTAAAAGCGTGGATGATAACTATGAAGCTATTGTCACTTGTTTTAAAAAAAATATATAGTTTACACACAAAAACAAATCAAGATAAATATAAAAAAAAAAAACAAACCATGGTTCACCCCTGATGTTAAAATGGCCATTACTTTCAATGACTATTACTATAGAAAAAGTAGGCAATATCCAGACAATGTCCACTTGAAATAGTATATTACATACCGAGGTGGGAAGAGTTTCATTACTCTCGAGAGATTAGTTAGTTAACTGAGACGCGAAGCGTCGAAGTTAACTATAATCTCGAGACAGGAATGAAACTTCCTACCGAGGTTTGTATACTATTTTATTTACAACAATTACAACCCTCATAATTTCGATTAAATACAAAAAATAATAATAAAAATTTGTTGACAAGTTTTGACTCATTTAAAAAAACGTTTGATATGCAGGACTCGTCTTAAACATTTAAGGAAATGAGAACTTACTTTTCACCTGGGTGGAAAGTGAGCTCTTTCCACCCGGGACCACAAAAGTGTCACTTTCAAACTTTTGAAAAGTCAGAAATGTCAACATTACATATGTGGTTGTAAATAAAATAAATACATCGACTCTCAGAAAAAAACTGAAAAGGGTTATCGCTACAGCAAAAAAGGACTTCTAGTTCTATGAAGCTGAATTTGGAAGAGTTAGAGGAAATGCTAAAAAAGAGTGGAAAGTGATAAACCAAATTATCTCCAATAAAAATACGAAACATATCATCACTGAAAGTTGGAAATCAAGGTTTTGTCAACGCTGCTGACATTTGCGAGAACATGAATGATTACTTTATCAGTGTGGCAGCATCTTTGGCATCAAAAATCAAACCTTCAACAATGAATCTTAACAAAGAGGAATCACGAGAAGGTGAATGATCTTTGATGGAGCCAACTTCTCAGAGGTTTTGAGTGTTATTAATGGTTTGGACCCAAACAATAAGACATCAGGTTTCGATGACATAGACATTAAGACTGGTAAACAGTGCAGATTTGAGTTGAGTAGCTTGCTGAGTGAGTTGTCTAATCAGTCCTTTACTAGTGGTATTGTGCCTAAATCAATGAAAGTGGCTAAAGTTTCGCCGCTCTTCAAATCAGGTGATAAAGAGAATCCAAACAATTATAGACCTATAAGTGTGCTACCCGTATTGTCAAAAATTATGGCGATGATTGTAAACTCTCAGCTTGTAAAATTCTTAAATGATATAAAGGACCCTGCAATATTCAAACGGAAATTGGTTACCCGTAATATTTGGATGAAATTTAAATATGTTATTGGAAATGCCGTAAGCAACATTTTTTTACCATGGGCGCAACCTTGTATATATGACAGGTGAGGCGGTATCAGCTGTCAAATATTGATTTCAAATGCACGGTAACACTGTGGTAGATTTTGATGAAGCAAGTATCGATTCCTAATAAGTCAACCAAGAAAAATGAAAAATGTCAACCATTTTGACATCTGTTTCACTACCTGCCTTGCCCTATCTCCCGCTACATATTATCGTTATTAATATATCAGGGCGCTAAAAGCATCGACAAGGAACAAAAAAACCATGAGGATTTCTATCTGTTGCAAGTTCAGACATGGAACATGACTCCAAATCCTCAAATTGGTAGATGGTTCCGGTTATTCACTGTAGCAATTGAATTATGTTGATCTGGAACGTAATCATTTTTCATTTTCATGCAATTGCTTAGCAATTGAGTTCGACGAAGCGAACTAGTGAGAGATATTTTACCTAGGATTTCATTAAGACTAGGTATATAAATCCCTATGCGTGAACAAACCGCAATAAGGTCACGTTTGGTTGTGTAAAACTCAACTCAAAACTTTTTCGAATTATTTTTCTTCTTAGTTGCTGTATTTTGGTCTATTCTAAGGTAGAAGGATTTCAATAAGTCTATTATTTGAAATCGTAATGGCGTTCTGAAGGTTTTTATTTGATTTACAAAAGATTATTTATATTCAGGAATATGGTTTTCTTGGCAGAGAAGAAGAACTTGATTTAAAGTTTTATTCAATGATTGAAAATACTGCCAGTACTCATCATACAAAAGATAAAAATGGCATAAAAAAAAATTCCTCCCATCTTTAACTTTTTTTAATAAGTCTCTGCTTTAAAAAAATAATCATTTGCCTATATTAATGTGCTGAACAACAAAAAACAAAGACTCATTAACACCCATTTTTTTGTTTTGTTTTCACTTTATTTTATTTTTTGTATTTGTAGCTTGTCACCACCACCTTTGGCATAACTCCTCAACAAACGGGCACCACAGACACTCTCATTTTAACTCATACTTTGCCTTTTAACAATAGCGAAAATACATCATTGAAAAAATCTTTAAGTTATGGAGACTTGAAGCGTGAAATCGAGACTATTTTGCCGATTAATCAAACCGATGAAGAAAATGTGCGCCGAATTACTTTGAGCGGACGAAGGCAGTCGAAAACTTTCCGGCAATTTCCCCAAATTATCGTAGAACCGCCCGACAATGATAGTAGTTTAACTACTAGTATGCCTGATATTAGAAAATCAGTGCAAGATTCACAAAAGGTTATTAGAAAACTCTCAATAGTGCTCAATAACGTATCAGATCAAAATGTATCGTGTCCTGATTTAACTGATACAAAAATATATAAAATGCCTAACGTTCACCAACTTACTAGGCAAAAATTTGGTTTTCTCAGACCCACTGAGTCGCTAAGAACGCGTAAAACAAATACCAGCATTGTGTTGGAAAGCCAAACCAGCCTCAGGGATTTAGCAGTGAAAAAACCCATCAAAAGAAAAAAGCGAGTGGAAACGCCCACTGAAGTTATTAAAAGAAACTGGAAAGTGAAACATTCTAAATCAATGCATAATTTGCTCAAAGAAGTACCAAAAACTAAAGTAAGAGATCAAAATTATTATACTATACATTCTTCAGATCAGTTTTCAAGAAACTTTGAAGGACATTATCGAACAAGACACAACAGTGATGGAAGTTGCCAACAAATATCACATATTGAAAATATGGGATATTATAGTAGACAGAGTAGACCCTCTCCAGCTCTTCAACGTACCACTTGTAACTGCTATTCTAGTTTAAACAGCCGTAGTTTTTCATATCAAAACCTGACCTCCGTAGACTCATTTTCACCATTTAACCATCCCCATACACATTATCAACCAGATTTTCCATACTTTGAGAGAGCATCGCCACATTATAAACCAACAGTTTTGCATTGCGAATTGTGTCAACACTATTGGCAGCACTCAAGGTGTGATCGGGGGGCGTGGCCCGAGCAAAGGTGTGGCTGTGAAACGAGAGAGCACGTTATAAATCATGTGGTGCCAATTGAGGAATATTTGGAGACGTACTTTGATCGTAACAGGGTAAGAATAATGGGATTTAATGGGCTGGATTTTTTTTCTTCTAATTTCATTCATATTGCTTTATAGAAAGCTTGGGATTATATTGTCTGGTGGTGGTGGGCGTTGATTATTATTCGTTTTCTGAATATATGTTTGATGCACGAGTAGTTTTTAAGGTAGAGGTGAAAGACGTCCTAACATCTTTCATTGCTGTCAATAAAAAATCCATTTCATTGCAATATGACGCCATTCTTCGCATTATTATGGTAACTTTTGAGGAAACCGAAGCTTTACTATTTCAGCATTAGTTTTGCAAACTAGGCCATCTTTGTTATTGAAATCGTCATCTTTAGGTCCAAATCTCCTAACTGAATACGTTCTGTTACCTTCTCTGAACATTCTATAGGGATCTTATCTGAGGCTATGATTAACTGCTTCAATATTCTCATGATCATGTATTGTTTCTCCATTTAGAACTACATTAGCTTGTTATGTTATATTTTGACTCAGTATTATTCCTACGAATTATATTTTCTGTAATTGGTAGTTGAAACTCTTAAAGACATTTTTTAATCCTGCATGTAACGCCTCATTTTGTGAGATTTGAACAAAAATGTCGGGAGCTTTGCCAAATTAGTTGTTTTTCAATCAGCCATAGCATGTAATTTTCATCTGGTCTGGTGTAGTGGTTATGGTCTAATGCAAACTTTTAAAATAATTTCACAATAAAAACAAAATGCTATTATCTGATGAATTTCTTGATTTTGTTTTGATTATGAAATGCCACCTTGGTGTATGATCTGAATTAAGTTTGCATATGAAATGTGTGATTAATATAAATCTTAACTTAACCTGTAGGTAGTTGATTCGTCTGCTAGATTTATTAATTTTTCAAAAAACAAATTCTTTTATTTAGGTCACCTAATACTAAACAGTGAAGTTGGGTATAATCAGACATTTTGCAAACTAGAAAAGTTGGTAGTTACTGTGATCAGTTGTAAATGTCTATTGTATAAAACTTTCTTACAGAATGTCTAGATATTGCTTACCCACATTATCAGTAACATATACACTGTTTTTATTATATTCAGTGCATGTTCAAACAATTTCCAATTGAAATTGAATTCCGCAAAATTCTTGTGTTTTGATTCAATTTTATCTTTGATAGGAAGAGACATTTGAAGAGATGCTAAATCGACAAAAGGCAGAATTGAACGCACTTATGGAAGCCCATAGAAGGCAGCAGTTGGAGTACATGGGAAAATACAAAAGGCAAAAAGATAGAGGTGATACCTAGTGTTAATTTAACAATACTCCATTTGAAGGAATAGCAAGGGTAGGGGGATTTTCTTATGTTATCTAGAGCTCAGACTATCAACCAACTTTGCGTTGATAAACTGGACTACGGGGTTATAATCGTTTTTTGTTTGTTTTAGAATAATAGCGAAGCATTATCAAAGAGAGATAATATATAAGAAGAAATAGAATACGATTTGACTAGTGAAAAAATTGTGAGAATGAAGGCTGTATAATCATTAATTATTTGTTTATATTGTATATTGGTTTTGAAAAATGTCTAGTTTATTAATTGTATTTGCTAATAATTTATTTTTAATATCCTCCTGTTACAATTAGCTTATTGTTTTATTATGATGAAAAGAATCTGATCAGTAAAAAACTTATTAGGCATTAACTTTGTTGTTTTATTGATTCTTTACATAAAACGTATGTAATACCTACCTAAATATAATATATATATAAAATACATTTATCAACCATTTGATCATCCTATCTAAGATTTCATATAAGGACAATGTTAGTTTAACCAAACAAATCGTGAAATGTTGTTCCATTGTATCCAACGTCTGCTGTAGGTGAGTTTTGGTAGCAAATGTACATTCTGCAAAAAGAAAAATATATTAGGAAATTAGTTGTTTTCAAATAAATACTCATAGTTTCATTAAACTACTCGTCAAAGACATTAGTTTGTGTCACAAGGACTTGCTCTTAAATTAACTCTGCAGAACTTTATACTCTCCTGACAAAGTATTATGTTAATGGAAATCAAATGCAAGACAACATACCCCTTCCCATTTGAAAAAATAAAGGCAGTAGCTGCCCCTGTTAAGGGGTTGAGGTTACAGGGATGAAATTAATAGTGAAACGTGTCCCCCTGAAAACAAAAGTTTACGGGTCCCAGGGTTTTTTTTTTTTAATTTTTACTTTCAAAGCCGTGAACTTGCTGGACTGTTTTCAATGGGCCATGCTGTATAGGTCTATAAAAAATAAAAATTAAGACAATCATACAACATCACTATAATATTCCTCCAAGCTGTAGAAGGCTTTCTCCAATAACATACTCTTTAAGCATTCGTTCCAAATTGGGTACAGTCATCTGACTATAAAATCGAGATGTTAGTTCAAGGTTGTCACCGCTTTAATTATGCAAATAAGGCAATCGGAATATAAAATCGATATGTTTATGTTAGTTCAAGGTTGTTACCGCTTTTGCATACATTGAGTGCCGACTCATAGATAGGCAATTACTTATACATAATAGAAGTCGGGTAAGTGTTTGGAAGAAGTCCGGAGAGGTCAGGAAAGGGCTGGATAAGGTCGGGAGAAATCTAGACAAGTCTGGATAAAGTCTGGATAAGGCTGGAAAAAGTTTAGCTAAGTCTGGAAAAGTTTGGATAAGTTTGGATAAAGTCTGGAAAAGCCAGAAAATTTCTGGAAACGTCTGGAAAAGGCTCTATTAGGTCTGGAGAAATCTAGACAAGTCTGGATAAAGTCTGGAAAAATCTACCCAAGTCTGGATAAAGTCTGGAAAAGCCTGGAAATTTCTGGAAACGTCGGAAAAAGGCTGGATAAGGTCTGGAGAAATTCAGACAAGTCTGGATAAGTTCTGGAAAAGTGTATTTGAAGTCGGGAAAGTGTTTGGGAGAAGTCCGGAGAGGTCAAAGGGCTGGATAAGGTCTGGAGAAATCTAGATAAGTCTGGATAAAGTCTTGCTAAGTCTGGAAAAGTCTGGATAAGTTTGGATAAAGTCTGGGAAAGAGCCAGAAAATTTCTAGAAACGTCTGGAAAAGGCTCTATTAGGTCTGAAGAAATCTAGACAAGTCTGGATAAAGTCTGGAAAAATCTAGCTAAGCCTAGAAAAATCTGGATACAGTCTGGAAAAGCCTGGAAATTTCTGGAAACGTCTGGAAAAGGCTTAATAAGGTCTAGAGACATTCAGACAAGTTTGGATAAAGTCTGGAAAAGAGCCAGAAAATTTCTGGAAACGTCTGGAAAAGGCTCTATTAGGTCTGGAGAAATCTAGACAAGTCTGGATAAAGTCTGGAAAAATCTAGCCAAGTCTAGAAAAGTCTGGATAAAGTCTGGAAAAGCCTGGAAATTTCTGGTATCGTCTGGAAAAGGCTTGATAAGGTCTGGAGAAATTCAGACAAGTCTGGATAAAGTCTGGAAAAGTGTATTTGAAGTCGGGAAAGTGTTTGGGAGAAGTCCGGAGAGGTCAGAAAAGGGCTGGATAAGGTCTGGAGAAATCTAGACAAGTCTGGATAAAGTCTAGCTAAATCTGGAAAAGTCTGGATAAGTTTGGATACAGTCTGGAAAAGCCAGAAAATTTCTGGAAACGTCTGGAAAAGGCTCTATTAGGTCTGGAGAAATCTAGACAAGTCTGGATAAAGTCTGGAAAAATCCAGCCAAGTCTAGAAAAGTCTGGATAAAGTCTGGGAAAGTCTGGAAATGTCTGGAAACCTCTGGAAAAGGCTTGATAAGGTCTGGAGAAATTTTGACAAGTCTGCATAAAGTCTAGCTAAGTCTGGAAAAATCTGGATAAAGTCTGGAAATTTCTGGAAACGTCTGGAAAACGCATGGAAATTTCTGGATTGGGTCGGAAAAATTCTGGAAAATCTGGAAAGGGTTGAATTTTAGCGGATCTCAAAGCTCACAATAATCACAAGCATTAGCGTTGAAGTTTGCTTCGGCATTTTCAATGTTCTCCTCGGTTGCATCTTTGTGAAGGACTGTGAATTTGTTACTTATGTGACAATTCTCTGACAATATGCCTATTAGCTGTGCTATTAGATATTGCTCTGTAGATGGTTGTTTTTCAAAGCAAGGAAGTGGTTTAATATTTTTTCTAGGTCCAATAGAAGAATCTAGGTATGTATAGGGTTTTCCAATAGTAACGCTCGATGTTTGACAATAGCCCATGAAAAACTCGATAGTCACACAGGTGCTATCTTTGGCAGCCGTATTCAATTAGTCTCTGCATTTTATTATGGAGCGCTACACGATTGAGCAACGCGTCGGAATTGTTAAAAATTATTATCATTATCAAAAACAATGTTCTATTCGGAAAACGTTTCGTGCACTCCGTGCAATTTATGATGTCAACGATCGTCCTTCAGAATCCACAATTGGCCGACCTAACGTCACTGGATTTTTTTCTCTGGGCATTCTAAAATCCAAAGTCTATGTTGACAAATCTCGAACGGTTGCCGCCTTAAAGGCCAATATTAAGCACTTATTGCTGAAATTGAGCCATTTTTATGCGATAACGAACACTAAATGATTCTAACGACAATCTAAAATTGTCGGAGAAATGTATTGATAATTCGGATATTGTTGAAAACATCTATGAGAAGTAAAGTCCGTCGATTTTAATCTAATACTCGAAAGGAATGTGAGCTGGTGGCACCCTACATTTGAACGCCAATGGTCACCTAAGGTCACCCCTGGTTTTCGCTTCACCCCCTCGCTCCTCATACGAAAAGTCGACGAACAATACTAAAAGAAGGAAGATTCAGGGACTTGACCAAATCTGCAATACTTTCTGCAAGAAATGTTGATGTCGAAGAAATAAACGAATAAGTTGTCGAACTGTTGGACGTCAAGACCGAAAAACTCTACACCAGTATAGATAGTGTCAAGAACTGTGATAATAGTGATCTAAATGATGCTATTCTTCCAAAATATTTAAATTCGCTTAATCCGCCGAATTCCCGCTCCATGATTTACGATTGAAAACGAATTCTATTGTATGCTTATTAGAAATCTAAGCATCAGTGCAGGCCTTTGCAATGGCACAAGGCCTTTAGTTCTGGAACTTGGGGATAATCTGTTACGCTGTGAGATATTGACTGTAGATAAACAGGGAGAAATAGTGTTCATAAATCGAATAACACTCTACTGCGAAAACGTCTACCCCTTTACGTTCAAACAAAGACAATTTTAAAATAAAATTAGCCTTTGCAATGAGTTACGATTAACAAATCTCAAGGACAAACATTTGATAGGATAGTAATTGATCTCCAGAAAGGATGTATTAGTCACGGACAACTTTATGTGGCGCTTTTCAGAGTTCGTTCGTGGGACTCATTCAAACTTTATTCAGGGAAACAAAGAGGCAATAGTGTTGTCAAAAACCATGTTTTTAAAGAATTGTTTTTTTGATAATTTAATTTTGAAATTTCGCAGTCATAGGTGATTTCAGAAGATCTTTACAACTTATTTACAAGATATTTGAAGATCACAAGACAAAAACCTGAACAGGATAAACATAAATGATTGAAAATAACGAAGAACGACATGAAGACTTAGCACTCTTTAAACTTTGGATTCTTACGAGTTCCATAAAATAGAATAAGTTCCACTGGACATATGCACACCGTATATTCAAAAAATAAGATTGATTTAAAGTCATTACGATGTACCGCAAAAGTAATAATTCACCAACTACTTTGATCACATTTAAAATTTATGTCTACCACGTAGGTACAAACAAAAAATGTAAGTTGAATAATTGAGCAATTGAATTTAAAATCTTTTAAAAAATTTTTTTTTTCGATTGTTTGCAGTAAAATGTTGATCGAGTAGACTTCAATAACTGGCCTAATAAAAAAAAGGAACTTCATGAAAATGTAAAAAAAAAATTAAGACTCGATATCTCGTATTATACCACAGCACATAAATAGTTACTAACTCGGTTTATAATAACACCTTGATTATGGTTATGATTATTCTGTTTTAAATAAACCACTTCGAATAATGTATACCTACACCTACGAGTTCCATAAAACAGAATGAGATAAGTAGACATACGCACACCGTACATTCAAGAAATGTGATCGATTTAAAATCATTATGATATACCATACAAAAATAATTAGTCACCAACTCCATCCATCGCATTTGAAATTTCTTCACTAGAATAACATCTATACAACTTATCTCACTGTTACATTTAATGTATAATGTACATTTAAATCAAAAATTATGCTGTTTTTTGTACAACACCTACCTAATAAATATTTTCCATTTTATAATTATTTTGATGGACTTGATTTAAAAAAAAAGCGCGCGAAGCGCGCTCATGACCTAGTTGATTTCAAATCATTACTGGGGTGATTGAACATTTTCTTGCTTTCAAAGAATATAGAATGTTTAGACTTTAGACAGAGCAGACGTCAGACGTTGGAATTGGTAAACGTAAGTTATTAGTGTGTGTTCTGGTATTGTAGCTTACCTCCTCCGGTTCCAGGCCAGAATATTTTTTATGTATGAGATAGATAGTTTCTAAAATGAACAAATATGGCACAGTTAATATTTTTTTCTTTATTAAACAAAGGCTGACAGTGTGCATGCATTTTAGCTCTACACAAATACCAAGGGGTGTTTCACCCACTAAATTTTGTAGACCTACTGTATTTGACCGCATTTGACTGCATTGATTGCAGCAAAGAAGATAGTTGACTGCATTGACTTTTGAACAATATTTAACAAGATTGCAGGCTCCACTCGCAGTGACTGTTTACGATTTTTCATGAGTGTATATGGAATGTACGCTACTGCATGTGACTGCACGGAATTTATTAGGATTGCAGGCGACTGTATTATGACTGCATAAGTCTATTTATTCCATTGGCTACATGAGAATGTATGGACTGCATATACAGGGTGGCCCAAATTCGAGCCTTATCATTGGGATCTCGGTAACCTTAAGAGATACGAGGTCGGTTAAATTATGGTAAAGTTGCACAATTTTATGTCCAATAGAGTGCCGTTTTGAAACTAGAAAGATTCCGAATACTTCCGGAGATATTCGGAAAAAACCGAAATTTTGTAAAATGGTTTTTATTTTTTCCTGGGCTTATTTAAAGAGCAATTTTAAAATAAATATCACTTTATCGTTGTCACTTTTTCCCCTTTAGAAGATGGTGCTACTAAATTTAAAATTCGACGTTTCGTCTTCAGGCGGCCATCCTCAACTTCCTTTTTTTTAAATACGGACCTGGATTTTTTATTTGCGATTTTGTCAATTCCAGAGGAACGAAACGTTGGATTTTAAATTTTATACCGCCATCTTGTAGAGAAGAAAAAGTGACAATGGGAATGTAGAATTAGATTTTCACAATCTTTTTAAATAAAATCAGGAGAAAATGAAAACTATACGAAAAAAACATGAATTTCTCGTTTTTTTTTAAATTTTTTCCTGGTTCCATTTAAAAAGATTTTGAAAAACTAATTTCACATTCCCATTGTCACCTTTTCTTTTCTACAAGATGGCGGTATCAAATTTGGAATCCAACATTTCGGTCCTTTGAAATCATCATCAATTTATTTTTTTTAAATACGGACCTGCTTTTTTTATCGTGTTATTGAAAAATTATAAACAGTATCGGTTTTAGGATGCCCAAAGATGACAAAATCGCAAATAAAAAATCTAGGTCCCTATTTAAAAAACGTAAGTTGAGGATGGCCGCGAGAAGACGAAACGTAGAATTTTAAATTTAGTAGCACCATCTTCTGAAGGATGAAGTGACATTTATTTCAAAATAGCTTTTCAAATAAGCCCGGGAAAAAATAAAAACGATTTTACAAAATTTCGGTTTTCTCCGAATATCTCCGGAAGTATTCGAAATCTTTCTAGTTTCAAAACACCATTCTATTGGTAATAAAATTGCGCAACTTTGCCATAATTTAACCGGCCCCGTATCTCTTATGGTTACCGAGATCCCAATGATGAGGCTCGAATTTGGGCCACCCTGTACATGAATGTATGAAAGGATAAAGGCCGAAACCCACTAGCAACACGCCACGCCATACTACGCCACCCCAGGCCATGTGACATATTGTTCACGTGGGACAGTTTGTGTGCAAATTTGTAACACGCCACGTGATGATACGCTCATTTTGTTCTATACATTTTATTTAGAAAAATTGTCAGTAGTTTTGAGTACATTAAGAGTATAGAAGCAGTTCGTCTAGTGACTTAGAGTTTCTAGAAGAATGTGCTGCTGCGGCTCTGATTTTACAGAAGAAAAAAAATACAAGATCCTGGGTGCACAAAATAAACAGGAATCGTGAAAAATATGGTTCTGTACTATTTGCGACGCGACAAAATATTGAAAAAATACAGAAATAGCTTGCGACGGGCCTAGAGAGGCGGCCTGGGAAGGGAACATCTACACGTACCAACACGCGTGGGCAGCATCAGGGGATTTGAAATTGTCACACGTCGGGTGGCGTGGCGTTTTATAACGTGGTATGGCGTGTGGCAAGCGTGTACTAGGCACATGTAAATAAATGGAAGAATATACGCATACATTTTCGTCACATGGCGTGGCGTGAGGCGATTTTCAGCCTGGAATGATTATAGCCAATTTTAAGCGAATAACCAAATGAGATTGGTTTTTACCATTTCGGATTGGTATTTACCACAACATTTTTGCGACTTTGGTTTTTCTTTTGGTTATGACTCCGTGACGTCATGGATCAGCTGTAAAATGTCATACTCATCACCGCAAAATTGCGGTTTTAACCCAGCTCGGGAGTGGTTTTTATTTTGCGGTTATTATTTGAATTGTTGACATTACATTTTTGGCGGGTTTTTAGCAAGTTGTTTTTTTTTTAGCAGTTTGTTTGGTATTATGAAGTAAAAAAAGGGCCAGAAATTATGGATATTTCAGATTCTTTTTCCCTAAGCATAAATCATGAAGGTGCGGATTACCAAATACAGAGGTTGGAGACTAAAGGTCGGTATTTCAATGTCACCTTAAGGTACAAAATAACGTTAAGTCATCTTTAATACAAGTTTCACCGTATATATCAAAATTCCCCTAATTCAAGGTGGATATTAAACCTGAATGAACTGATTTCAAGTTCACCTTAACGTTAAGGATACCTTTGGTAAATCTTGATTTTAAGGATACATTGAAAAAGCGGCCCTTAGAAACAGCTAATATACTTTTTAATGGCAAGTATTATATGTTTCAATTGATTTCGGTCTCATGTCTTTCCTTTTTTTTTTAAAAAAAAAAAATGCAACAAATTGGTAGATTTCCTAACAAATCAATTATTTCTGCACTGTCTTCCAAAAAACCACATCTCCAAATAAAAAGGCAAATTCTCTCCTCTTTTCCATTTTCCGGCCAGCATGAAATCAAAATTCAAAATATAAACAAATAGCAATAACACAACAGGGGTAACCGCGGTTAATACCAAACGCGTTTAAGCGAATACAATGAAATGACGTCATCAAGTGATTTGTCATCTTGAACCAAAGCGTAACCGCGGTTAAAACCACAAAATTGTGGTTATTCGCTTAAAATTGGCTTATTTATCGGTAAATACCGTGGTCCGTGGTTATTCTTTTGGTTGACAACTTTAACAGCCAAGTGTGACGTCATAGCCCCCCACCATTCAAGAATCATAACCCAAGGAACTGACCGCTGAAATGATTTGGTTATAGCAGTGTAGGATTATGTTTATTATTCTTATTTGTTTTTTCGTTTCAACAATAGTTTTTTGTTTGGGTACAAAAAATGGAGCTGAATCTCTCGTTAGTCTCATTTATCGAACAGATTTTCTTTGGGGATGATCCAAACCTCGATTTAAACATGGTGAATTGCAGTGAGTGAGTGAATGTATAGTAATGTATACTTCTTTCATTGTGCCAGGCTACAGCGCAACTGCAAAATCACAAAACACCAATACAAATTCCAAAAATAATAACAACATCAAAAAGCTGTAACCAAAAGATTAACCCAAGTCCAAAGCTGGGTTATAATCGGTTATAAGCAGTGATGGTAACATTTTTTTCACGATTCCCCTTATCAGACAAAAAAAAATCCCTACTTTCCCCTACCAACCAAAAAAAAAATCCCTACAATTTTCCCTACGCTTTAATTCAATTAATAGCGAATTCTATTGGAAGGGTTAGTGCGCCCTGAGTGTATTCGAGTATTTTTCTAAACAGCTTATATAAGAAAGAGATTAAAACACATTTTTTCTGCACTAGTTTAACCAATAGAATTCGCTGTTGGTTGACTCAGTTGGCTGCATGAAATTGCAGAACAAACAAAATACCTGGCGCCATCTATTGACTACTGTACAAAAGTCAAATTTTCCTTAGTCGCCATATTGAAAAATCACGTGGTTTAGAGAGCCTAATTAACAAGAAAGTCAAAAGTTTGTTGCTACGTTGCCAGTGCTCATCTTTTAGAAGTTATCCGTTTTCCTTTTTCAACTTATATACCTATTGAAAAAAGAGAGAGGTATTCTGCAGTAATGTGGCTTGAATGGAAATAGGAAAGATATAGGTACTAGGGATGTCTCGGTTGTCTCCTCTCGTGAGCAGTAAGAGTACGATCGATAATCAGAAAGCCGTATTCGATTTCTTCGAATTCTTCGTTCGTTTTTAATTTTTTTTTTTCACAATATTCGACCAATCTCTGAATTTCCCTACATTTTCACAATTTACGAATTTCTGTCCCTTTTCCCTACACCAGAAAAAAAACATCAATTTTTCCCTACATGTAGGGAAATTCCCTACGTGTTACCATCACTGGCTATAAGTGGTAAATACCAAAAGCAAACCAGCTGATATGTGACATCACAACTTCCCCTACTTTGGTTAAAACCGCGACGGCGGAAATGCATTGGTTATAACCAAATAATAATCATTCCAGGCTGAAAATCGCCTGTGGTATAGCATGGCGTGGCGTGTTGCTAATGGGGGCTTAATATCCACTTATACTTTAATATACTATTTTTGTGTGGAGAGTATATGAAAAACTGGTGTTTATCAGTAAAAATTTTGACAGGTCGACATATTTCACGTCACTAACAAATGTCAACATAGGCTAAGGCCGGGACCGCACTGGCGCCAACATTGACCACAGTGCGGTCTCGGCCTTAAAGTAAGTTGACATTAGTTTTTAAGAAGTGACGTAAAGTATGTGAACCTGTCAATATTTTGGCTGATAAACACCAGTAGCACCAGTATTTTGTATACTCTCCACACAAAAAGTCGCAAAAAAGATCATCTTTCAACACTGAGGGTGAATTCTCATGAGCGTAAGTTGACATTTCTGGCGTAATCACGTGATAATTATGGTGTAATTTGATTGGTAAAATCTCCAACATGTCAAATATTTTTCCAATAAAACCCAACCACTTTATCACGTGATTACGCCAGAAATGTCAACTTACGCTCATGAGAATTCGCCCTCATATCTCAAAAACCGTAATACTCACAAGATTTCATTCCATTTAAAGGTTGTTCAGAATTAAATCCTCAACAACATATCAAAAAATGGGCAAAATCCATAGAGCCCAAAAATCACATGTTAGGTGTGCGTTATCCTTTGTACAGCTGCTTAATGAGTGAAACATGTTACCTTGTCGGTGGTATGCCAATAGCTTCTTCAACAGCCTTGAACAATGCTTTCGAGTGCTTCTTGTTTTCATCAACACCCAAAGCTCCGATGCTCATTAATGTAGCTTGAGCTGCAGGTTCATCGGTACCTCCCCAGGACATGTTTACATTTCCAATAACTGTGGCTACACAGTACTATAAAAATGTAATCATCAATTAATTATGGATGAAGGTGGAATTCTGGTGAATCATAATTATCAGGGCTATGCTGATAATGAATTGCATTTTATATAAATACTACTTACATTTAGTGGTTTTCCCAAGGACTTTGATAAAATTTCACATAATTTTTTGGGAAAATCCTTAGGGATTTTCTCTTGCGGGATGTTAGTTTCTAGCCGAAAATGAGGCATTGCTTTTATATTTTTTTTTATTACAAAAACAAAATGAGAAAAACAACTCAACGAAACAAGCCTGTGTGGTTCAAATCTCAAGCCCCCCCCACTTCGCCAAAGTACCAGTGATGACGTAAGAAGCGTGTCGTTTCTCGCCATGACGTAGGGTGTTTGCACCACAGGCTATAGTTGTATTCCTTACAAGAGTTTGAAACACTCGAGCTACTCGCTCCGGTGTTCAGTCGCCCCCGATTTACAGGGAATAGATGCGTGATGCAACAAACACTTTTCGAAAGGAATAAGGGCGGGTATTATAAAACTACATTGAGAGTTAAGCCCCGGAGCTGTTCCGGAGCTCCTCCTAGGTGTGAAAGCAATACAACTTATGATTCCGCTCAAGTTCGTACAGTTAAACCCTTTTCACGTGGCTCCGGTTAAACAAACCGCAACATACCGCTCAAATTCGAGTGGTAGGGATCCATCACGTCACTTTGCAACCGGGTTAGAAAACGGTATATCATTTCTCTAACCGTTTTGTAACCCGGTTAGTTAAACCGGAGCCACGTGAAAAAAACTTAAGGTTGTCTGGCAAGGGGTAACTTGATGACGTCATATGTGGTGCTTTTGCTTATCATGAATTTAGATTCTAAACTACGACCGCTGGTGCAAACAGCTGACGACTTAGTTAATGACGTCAGCAATGGTGCTACACCATTTGACCGCGATAACCAAAAACGATTTCTCAGATTTCTCTTCTTCTTTTATAATAGGGCCATTACTAGTTTACCTACTCGTTTACTAGTAAAATAAAATTCAAATCAAAACAATATTTTTTTGAGATTAGTGACAACTGTGACGAGGGTTTCAGGTTTTTTTTTCGATCTACGTTGACTGTTGGTGACTGTTGTGTTGACTGCCTTCGGCTTATGACTTTGTGCAAGGTGGTCTCTGCGTATGACATCACGATACTCATGCTCATACTGTTCCGCTCCGTAGAGTGCAAAGCCGAACTCAGCATGTTGTAGATGCCAAACATGACAATGCCAATTTCAAACATAACCGTCCACAGTGTGACATAATAAATAATTTTTCAATGATTTTCATCGCCGAGTTCGTTTTTGTCATCTTTTTCGTCAATTTGCTCCGAAATTTTGACAGGCACGTGACTGGATAAGACAGTTTCAAGTTACAAATCACGTGCCTGTCAAAATTTCGGAGGAAATCGACGAAAAAGATGGCAAAAACGAACTCGGCCCATGTAAGCTACGGGCTTGACCTAGCAGGGGCTTGACATGAACAAACATACTGAATTTTGTTTCACGCGTAAAATGCATTAACCGAGTTTAAAAAAGTGGTCAAGAAACAAATTTCTAAACGTTATAATCTTGTTAAAATTCCCTTTCCTACATTTAGAATTGACGAAGAAACAAGCACAACATCGCAAACATCAAGGAATGCGGGTGACGTCAGCTCTAGAAGCTGTTATGCTGCTAATGGCGAGACGTCACTCACAGGCCCGGCCAACTCGAAAATTAGCGAACCTATGCCTTATTAGAAAATCATCGATATCGCGAAAATGAGAATATATTTTTAACGTCGAAAATTGGCAATGACGCCAAGGATAATATACACACATGATACACACTACTAAAGATGGTTTATCGCTTAACGGCCTAGTTTTTGGTATTCGCGGTAATATGGTACAGCACCATTGCCGACGTCATTAACCAAGTCGTCAGCTGTTTGCGCCAGCGGTCATAGTTTAGAATATACATTTATGATGAAAAATATTATTTAATAGTTGTTTAATGTATAATGTACTAAAATCAATATACATAAAGCAAAAACCAGCATAATCAGAGCCTGTGATGCTACTACGTCAAGACGAAAAACGAAACGTTGCGTACGTCAGCACTGTGTACTTAGGCGCGTAAGGGCTTGGGATTTGAACTACACAGAGTCGCTTTCCAGTGACGCACTTTAAGCACTCCTGAGCTGCTGGAGGGGCCCGGATTGTTTATAGGCATTCCAGTGCATTAGAGTTTTGTGCAACTGAACCGTTCGTTTCCTCTTCCCTGACCTCTTAAGCACCCAGTAATTTTATGGGTTCATCAAAAACACGACGCTTATAAAGTAGGGTGCATTCCAGACACAACTGTTGTTTGGATTCCCAGAGTGTGAAGCTACAAAATTCGTCACTGGAAAGCGGCTCAGGCCTAAAGCTTAATTCTCACTTGCGCGAAATTCGTTTTTTTTACATTTCTTCGACAATTTGATGTTTGATACACGCATAAAACGTCAAATTGTCGAAGCAATGTCAAAAAAATAGTGAATTTCGCACAAGTGAAAATGAGGCATTGCCTAGTACTCATAACCGCGAAATTCGCTCTTTTTTGACATTGCTTCGACAATTTGACGTTTGATTCACGCATAAAACGTCGAATTGTCGAAGCAATGTCAAAAAAGAGCGAATTTCGCTGTTATGAGTACTAGGCAATAGTTATGTATTCCTTTCAAGAGCTTGAAACACTAGAGCTACTCGCTACGGTGTTAGACGACCCCGATTTGAAAGGAACAGATGCGCTGGCTTTCATGCATTTAAATGGTTTGAGTCGGGCACTCAGGTGCAACCAATGAACTATAGCTAAAAACTGGAATGTGCACACATTGCCATATCTGCCAAAAAAATGAAGCCATTGTAGCAATATCGCCCCAAGTACTCTATGTAAATTAGTTAGATGGTAAATGGCGAGCGGTATATTGATGGTGTTTATATGTACTTGGAGCTTGCTATCTAAAATCTGTGGAAGAGGGTCTATTTGCAAGAGAGAGAAACAAACTAAGGAGGTGTACTAAATTATATTTTATTTCACATAAAACTCAAAAATCAATTAGCCAAATATCTCCCAATACTTTACATCCTTCTTTAATTCTGTAAAATTAATACTTCACATCCGTTCTATATTGTTATTATACGGACCACTGAAATATGCCTACTTAATAAGAAACGCTCTATTCATACTATTTCTCAAAATAATATTTCTATTTATTTTACTACATCCAAATCATTCCTAATAACTACCCTTTACCTAGTCAAATAATTCCTTAAAATCTCTAAGTCCATTACTTATAAAAACCCAAAATAATTACCTATTTGTTTAACAACTAATTTATTCTCATAAAATCTTACAATAACTTCCACTTGTAAAATAAACTCCCTAATTCAAAATTCATTTCATGGACAATAAATTCTTTTAACAGCTTTCCCATATTCTAAGACAATTCTATTTCATGAACAAATTCTAGTATAAGTTTCCTTTTTAACAACATTCCAATATTTCAAGAAAACAATTCTATTTTATGTCATCAATTTTCTTTTCAAAATTTCCTATTGCCGTTAATAGTTTATCAGAACAAATTCTATTTTCGGATTCCTATGCCTAGCTAATAAATCCAACTGTTTAAGTCATAATTCCAACTCAAAACTGAATATTGTTAAATGCATTGTAAGTACTCTTCATATTTTTGTTGCACATTTAAATGTCATTAAATCTGAAGTCTGAGGGTAATTGAGTTATGCAATAATGTTCCATTTATAAAACACTCAAGCTACTAATTTCGTTGTAATAAAGTTCCACTGTTAAATTAAAAGTCAAAAGTTTTTCTAGTAGTGCAATCCTCAAGTTTATAAATTCAAAAGTACTTCTAGTAAAATTTCACACAAAGTCATGTTCATCAAAATAAATCTTGTCACTATAAAGTACTTACATTTTGTCCATAAAGCACACGTAAAATTATTTAATTAACTACTCAAAATATTTAGCTTCACGCACATAATTGATTGAATGAAATTTCAACTGTTATTACTTTCTCGATTTTCCGTAAATTTTCTAAGTTAATTTATACCCGAGTCCAAACCATAAAAGAAACTTTTCGCGAAACTGGGCAGACTTTCTTCAACTGGACTAGGCTGTTCTACAGATAACTATCTTCTGGGAACTATCTTCAGATCACTGGGAACTATCTTCCGCGAGTTTTATATCAAATCGCTCTCCCCACAAAATTATTATTAAATTTCCCCCAAATCGTCAATATAGGCGGTCGTTAACTTAGGAATCCGAATTTCATTGGACGGGCCTCATTGTTATTAAAAGAATGATGCAATTTCCTTGAATATTATATCATTTTTGTAGCCCAAAAATCGACTAATTATGTCGCAATTATCTGATTTATTGAGGTCAAGACGTTTTGGGTTCAAGAATCCATAATTCATTCGACTCAATGTGTGTTAAACGGAAAGGCCTTGGCTAAATAAAGTTCATTGAATCGGATTTTAGGATGACACCACCTCGGTTTTATCAGTTTTTAAGAATTTAATTTAGATGAACGACTTCCGGGTGTCGCTATACGATTGCTTAGTTGGTTTTTATTTCTTAATTTATCGACACAGATTTAAAAATACCGGAATTAAGTTTTTGATTGTTTGATTATTTATTTAATTTTTACAGTAAAGACTTTGTAATTATAGGGTCAAATTTCTGGATCATCACATCCCTCCGCCCTTTAAAACCGAAATTATATTGAATAAGATAATTTCGGACAATTCTTATTCAATTGTCCCATCAAAGTATCGAATTTCACCATAAATTAGGTGCCTGCCTTGTAAAAGGTTCGGTCGGTGAACCCTCTGTGAGTTATGGGTTACTTTTCTCAATTTCAAAAATTTCACGATAATATTATCCGCGTATTTATCAGATCGTTCAACCTAATTATGTACGTGCTTTCCCTATCCTAAACTTCACATTAAAAATATCTGTTATATTTCAAAATTTTACTAAAACAACAAAAGTAATACGAAATTAATTTTTTCTGCGTAATTTCGCAACTTCATGTACAAAAATAATTATAAAAGCATAATTATGAATCTTTACTCAACACTAGATTTTATCCTTGCATCAAAATTTTTCTTAATTTTTCTCCATTAATACAATTTTCATTTAATATTTCCCCTCAAAATTGTTGATGCTAGAACGACACAAAACAAATTTCAATCTTACAAAATAATTACCCTTGCTTGTAGCAAAGTTTACTTGAAGCGCTGGTTACTCATTAGGCCTATATTGATAGGGCCTATATTGCGGTCTTCCACTACGACTCATTGGTTAGTGGCCTGTAGTGTCGCTGTCAATCTCACAGTAGTAGGTATCATAGCTAGGCTAGCTACGATCTGGATGCTGATACTGCTCAAGGGTGGTCTCGCTAGTTTGCTGGTTATACGTTACACTTACACCCTTTTTGACTTTTTCACTTTTCACAACACTTCCCTCGTGGTTACTGGCTCTGGTTGACTACTGCTACCATGGTCTTCGTGTTTGCTCCTACTGGCTCATCGGAGTTTCATTACTAGGACAACACTGTCCAAAATTTCCATTTCGACATGGATACGTGGTTGCGGAACGAGTTCGTCATTTTCTTGGTACCTATTATTTTCTGATGGCATGTTTCTAGTGTCTAACAAATCTTATACAATTATATCCCTAATCACCTAAATTACGCCTTTAAATCAATGAATCCTTACATTCGATTCTAATTTTCTTATTCTTAAATTTTATAGCTAACATCCTTCCTTATGTATTCTCAATTTTTCTTAATTCCTAGTTAGATATACATAGACTAAACATATTTTGATTTTTATTTATTTTTTTTTTCTACGTTTTACAGTTTCTTCATTACATAATCCTTAAACCTAGCGGGCCATTTTATGTCCCGTGTCCTCGTACTTCTTCGTACTTCCGGTTCGTGTTCCTCGACCTCTTCTTCTTCCTCTTCATCTTCTTCTTCGGGATTTTCTTCATTTTCTTGAATTATATTTTCTTCCATTTCTCTACGCCTGACGGGTAATTCTTGTCCCCGTGCTAAAAATTCATCTTCTTCTTGCTCCCTTATTTCATCATTTACGCCATTATTTTCATTTTGATCGACGATTTCTTCATTCTCGTCTCTTGCCATTTCCCTATGGATTAGTGGAAATTCTATAATATCTTCTCCTCTGGGTAGAACCTCATTGTCCTCCTCTTCATCGGATTCACTATCTCCGTGATCTGGTGTAGGATTTATCATTCTATCCTCCAACCCTTTACATGGTTTGAGCCTTTCAGCATGTAAAATCTGCTCTTTCTTTCCATGCAACTCCTTTATTTTAAAGGTAACCGGTCCTAGCTGTTGAGTAATTCGACTCGGTCCTGACCATTTACAACGGAATTTTGGTGCTAAATTCCTCCCTGGTAAAACTGGATTCTTCACATAAACTAAATCCCCGACTTGGAATTCTTTCCTAGTCCGTTTTGCATTGTGTTTATCGCATCTTTTTT